AGAAACAGATGTGAAAAGGATGAATTGGAACCGGAAGAAGCTGGAAAGGACCGCCCAGGGCAGGGTTGGATGAAGAATGCTGGTGACAGGCCTATGCTCCTTCACGAGGAGTAACGGGCGGAAGTAAGTAAGTATGTAAATGCTATCAAAGCTCGGTAATGAACCATATACTTGAGGCACTAGATGCAATTATGGGTGACTCACTGCTACCATAAGCCAGAGGTCGTTAGGAAAAACCTTATTTTGCTTTTTTTCTACTACCTATTTGACAGTATCTTTTCTGATTGGATCTATTGAGCACAGAAATATAGGGTTTCTTGATTAGGCGCTCCAGCACCAGTCGGGGTTATCTGTCTCTCGTGGTCTAGAGACAGATCGCTTACGAGAAATGCTTCTACGTGGTGTGCGCGATCTCTTACGGTCGGTACGAAGACTAAGATAACGCGTGAGTGTGTGATATAAGTCGGTTATATCATTCTGAGTCGTTTGAGGTTTTTCTTTGACTGAAAATACCTCGGTAGTAGAAGGTTTCGTAATTTCTAAAATGCGGTCGGCAGATGCAGCTAGTTCGTCTAAGGCGTTGTTCTGAAACGAGACCAGAACTGCTTGCACCTGTTGAGGAAGTTTTGATAAGAAGATTTGTTTGAATAGACATTCGTCGAAAGTTCTTGGGCCTATTACCTCTCTCATCCGTTGCAACATGTCCGTCGCAGAACCGTGTTGCAGGTCGATGTTATTGAAGAGTTGATCTAACCTTTGTCGATCGGTTAGGTCTCCTCGTTTAAGAATCGAGCGTTTTAAGATTTCGTAAGGATCGGAAACATCACTAGTAAACATACTAGGTGTTACGTACCTGTTGAATTCGCGCGGTAGTGCCTTGACTACTGCGAGGAATTGTGCACGTGTGTCGATCACGCCGTGCTCGGAGAGGTCGGCTTCTGCGTAGCAAAACCAGGCTTCGATGTTGTCGGGCCAGAAAGGCATCAGTTGAAACGAAGGTGTGGACAAAGTCTTAAGCTTGAGTACTTTAGGTGTCTGTTCAGTCATGATGAAGTATGATAATGAACGAGGGGAAATATATATATATCCAAGAAGAAACACGAAAAAAATTACAATGTTTAAAAATAAATAAAAAAATAAGGCAATGATATATAAAAATCCCAAAAAGGAACAGACTCACAGTTGCAATTAGGTGTACCAGATCACGTCGGTCTCACCAATGATGATGTCACAGGTATTCAGTGTTTGACAACGCTTCTACCAGTAACACCTTCTAATGTATTTCGTTCCCACCCAGAGAAATCAAAAGACAGAGTCGAGGAGATCGGAAGAGTATATTTGGCGATGACCAATATATCGGAATTCTGTGATCTAATCTGGCTAGCGATTGCGGTTGATGTTGAGCGCGGCGTTACCACACGTGATCTGGTGCGGATGCCTGACCGAGCGCCTTCAGCTAGATGAGTCCACTAAAACATATGGTCAGCATCCAATGTCGAAAACTTACAGAGCTATTTATTTTGGGGATTTATTTACCGCTACAAACTCATTACTTCAAGAAAAAGAAACAGATGTGAAAAGGATGAATTGGAACCGGAAGAAGCTGGAAAGGACCGCCCAGGGCAGGGTTGGATGAAGAATGCTGGTGACAGGCCTATGCTCCTTCACGAGGAGTAACGGGCGGAAGTAAGTAAGTATGTAAATGCTATCAAAGCTCGGTAATGAACCATATACTTGAGGCACTAGATGCAATTATGGGTGACTCACTGCTACCATAAGCCAGAGGTCGTTAGGAAAAACCTTATTTTGCTTTTTTTCTACTACCTATTTGACAGTATCTTTTCTGATTGGATCTATTGAGCACAGAAATATAGGGTTTCTTGATTAGGCGCTCCAGCACCAGTCGGGGTTATCTGTCTCTCGTGGTCTAGAGACAGATCGCTTACGAGAAATGCTTCTACGTGGTGTGCGCGATCTCTTACGGTCGGTACGAAGACTAAGATAACGCGTGAGTGTGTGATATAAGTCGGTTATATCATTCTGAGTCGTTTGAGGTTTTTCTTTGACTGAAAATACCTCGGTAGTAGAAGGTTTCGTAATTTCTAAAATGCGGTCGGCAGATGCAGCTAGTTCGTCTAAGGCGTTGTTCTGAAACGAGACCAGAACTGCTTGCACCTGTTGAGGAAGTTTTGATAAGAAGATTTGTTTGAATAGACATTCGTCGAAAGTTCTTGGGCCTATTACCTCTCTCATCCGTTGCAACATGTCCGTCGCAGAACCGTGTTGCAGGTCGATGTTATTGAAGAGTTGATCTAACCTTTGTCGATCGGTTAGGTCTCCTCGTTTAAGAATCGAGCGTTTTAAGATTTCGTAAGGATCGGAAACATCACTAGTAAACATACTAGGTGTTACGTACCTGTTGAATTCGCGCGGTAGTGCCTTGACTACTGCGAGGAATTGTGCACGTGTGTCGATCACGCCGTGCTCGGAGAGGTCGGCTTCTGCGTAGCAAAACCAGGCTTCGATGTTGTCGGGCCAGAAAGGCATCAGTTGAAACGAAGGTGTGGACAAAGTCTTAAGCTTGAGTACTTTAGGTGTCTGTTCAGTCATGATGAAGTATGATAATGAACGAGGGGAAATATATATATATCCAAGAAGAAACACGAAAAAAATTACAATGTTTAAAAATAAATAAAAAAATAAGGCAATGATATATAAAAATCCCAAAAAGGAACAGACTCACAGTTGCAATTAGGTGTACCAGATCACGTCGGTCTCACCAATGATGATGTCACAGGTATTCAGTGTTTGACAACGCTTCTACCAGTAACACCTTCTAATGTATTTCGTTCCCACCCAGAGAAATCAAAAGACAGAGTCGAGGAGATCGGAAGAGTATATTTGGCGATGACCAATATATCGGAATTCTGTGATCTAATCTGGCTAGCGATTGCGGTTGATGTTGAGCGCGGCGTTACCACACGTGATCTGGTGCGGATGCCTGACCGAGCGCCTTCAGCTAGATGAGTCCACTAAAACATATGGTCAGCATCCAATGTCGAAAACTTACAGAGCTATTTATTTTGGGGATTTATTTACCGCTACAAACTCATTACTTCAAGAAAAAGAAACAGATGTGAAAAGGATGAATTGGAACCGGAAGAAGCTGGAAAGGACCGCCCAGGGCAGGGTTGGATGAAGAATGCTGGTGACAGGCCTATGCTCCTTCACGAGGAGTAACGGGCGGAAGTAAGTAAGTATGTAAATGCTATCAAAGCTCGGTAATGAACCATATACTTGAGGCACTAGATGCAATTATGGGTGACTCACTGCTACCATAAGCCAGAGGTCGTTAGGAAAAACCTTATTTTGCTTTTTTTCTACTACCTATTTGACAGTATCTTTTCTGATTGGATCTATTGAGCACAGAAATATAGGGTTTCTTGATTAGGCGCTCCAGCACCAGTCGGGGTTATCTGTCTCTCGTGGTCTAGAGACAGATCGCTTACGAGAAATGCTTCTACGTGGTGTGCGCGATCTCTTACGGTCGGTACGAAGACTAAGATAACGCGTGAGTGTGTGATATAAGTCGGTTATATCATTCTGAGTCGTTTGAGGTTTTTCTTTGACTGAAAATACCTCGGTAGTAGAAGGTTTCGTAATTTCTAAAATGCGGTCGGCAGATGCAGCTAGTTCGTCTAAGGCGTTGTTCTGAAACGAGACCAGAACTGCTTGCACCTGTTGAGGAAGTTTTGATAAGAAGATTTGTTTGAATAGACATTCGTCGAAAGTTCTTGGGCCTATTACCTCTCTCATCCGTTGCAACATGTCCGTCGCAGAACCGTGTTGCAGGTCGATGTTATTGAAGAGTTGATCTAACCTTTGTCGATCGGTTAGGTCTCCTCGTTTAAGAATCGAGCGTTTTAAGATTTCGTAAGGATCGGAAACATCACTAGTAAACATACTAGGTGTTACGTACCTGTTGAATTCGCGCGGTAGTGCCTTGACTACTGCGAGGAATTGTGCACGTGTGTCGATCACGCCGTGCTCGGAGAGGTCGGCTTCTGCGTAGCAAAACCAGGCTTCGATGTTGTCGGGCCAGAAAGGCATCAGTTGAAACGAAGGTGTGGACAAAGTCTTAAGCTTGAGTACTTTAGGTGTCTGTTCAGTCATGATGAAGTATGATAATGAACGAGGGGAAATATATATATATCCAAGAAGAAACACGAAAAAAATCACAATGTTTAAAAATAAATAAAAAAAATAAGGCAATGATATATAAAAATCCCAAAAAGGAACAGACTCACAGTTGCAATTAGGTGTACCAGATCACGTCGGTCTCACCAATGATGATGTCACAGGTATTCAGTGTTTGACAACGCTTCTACCAGTAACACCTTCTAATGTATTTCGTTCCCACCCAGAGAAATCAAAAGACAGAGTCGAGGAGATCGGAAGAGTATATTTGGCGATGACCAATATATCGGAATTCTGTGATCTAATCTGGCTAGCGATTGCGGTTGATGTTGAGCGCGGCGTTACCACACGTGATCTGGTGCGGATGCCTGACCGAGCGCCTTCAGCTAGATGAGTCCACTAAAACATATGGTCAGCATCCAATGTCGAAAACTTACAGAGCTATTTATTTTGGGGATTTATTTACCGCTACAAACTCATTACTTCAAGAAAAAGAAACAGATGTGAAAAGGATGAATTGGAACCGGAAGAAGCTGGAAAGGACCGCCCAGGGCAGGGTTGGATGAAGAATGCTGGTGACAGGCCTATGCTCCTTCACGAGGAGTAACGGGCGGAAGTAAGTAAGTATGTAAATGCTATCAAAGCTCGGTAATGAACCATATACTTGAGGCACTAGATGCAATTATGGGTGACTCACTGCTACCATAAGCCAGAGGTCGTTAGGAAAAACCTTATTTTGCTTTTTTTCTACTACCTATTTGACAGTATCTTTTCTGATTGGATCTATTGAGCACAGAAATATAGGGTTTCTTGATTAGGCGCTCTGCGCAACTGGTTTGAAAATCGGGGTTTTCACCTTGCTTCACAATACTTAGCGCTATTGAAATGAAAATGTTTTTCTTATTACAGGGTAACAATAAGTAAACGTGCTGGAAGGAAAAATAGGATCTGCGTGATGGATAAGACTATCTTCATAATAAGCTTTCCCTTTTGTGGCCCAAATACGTTATTCGATTTCTGAAATATATATGTTGTGCTAGCACGTCGTGTTCTTGCTTCGAGACATTCACTGACCCTTATTTGTATGCTGTTACTTTAGATCTCCCCTGCTTCCAAATAGACACCGGTAGCATTTGTAACAGAATATGCAGTCGAGTGTTTCATTGGAAGATGGATTTTATTCCTTCTGGAAATCTCTTGGACCTGTAAGGATAAAATTCTTAAAATTTACTTTCCAATATAGAAGCCTCCTACCACTCTTCGATGCTTCGAAAGAGGGGTAAGCCATATTAATTGGAGTTATTTCTTTCCAGGAGATAATGACGCTTCATGATTCTGATGCTATTCTTGTGGCTACAGATTACTACAGAAATCCGTCCCTCGTAAAGCGGTTTTCCAGGGGGAAGTCAAGCCTGTCGTATGTCACTGTCAAAAAACAAAACACTGACTTTTTGAGACATTTTCTTCTAAAGAGGCAATATCGCATCGAAATATATTGTTCCACATCCAAATGTGGGAGAGATAATGAGTGGAGCCTTAAGTTGAAGGTTTGTAGAGCCAGCTATTAGCTTATTTTCAGGCTTCTCCTGGGAACTTGGGTTCAGTAGAAGATCTCCTTACATCCACATCAGATTCAGTTGAAGCTTGTGGACTCAGTGCAGTAAATGTAAAGCAGCTAAACGAACGAATAGTAAGTTTGGTGCAACTTTTACAACCGTATGCGATTCGCTGCTAATGTTCACCAACCTTGTTGATAACAGACAAAACCACCCGGATATGTGAATGTAACGATTGACTTGGGTTAAACACTTCGTATTTAAGGTATTAAATATCACTTAATGATACTTACAGCGTCAGAATTTTCGAAACAGGGACCGTAGATTACTGGTTTCATCAGAAACTGTCTGTTATGTCTAATTCAAACCATAAGTTTTATATTCTGTAGGTGGTCCAACTATGTAACTTGGAACGTTAGCAAATATGCCACAATATAATAGCTAGTGGAAAAAATTGTGAGAAACGTTCTTAGATAAAAAAGGTTTCTGGTTGTATTTTCAAGTGAGCTGTATATCCTAGTATGAATTCTCGTTCATTTTTTTTTATTGTACTACCGTTTTCTCCATTTATTTAGTGCTATCTTTATTTATGGTCTCTACATTTTCGGTCTCCAAAATTTACATGTTTAAACTAGGTGAGTATACTAACACCCTTAAAAGTACACCTAAAGTCAATTCTTAGGACTTAGATTAATGACATTTCAGTACAATACTTTTCTGATAATCTAAATAACTAAATCCTACGTTTATATTAGAATATTTAGGTACTTTCAGCCGGAGTACCTACGTTCAAATGCCGGGAAGTGCCACTAGGAGATAAAAAAGTTGTGTTACTCTATTACTGCTTTATGTTATAATTGAAGCCACAGGCAAGAGCGTCACAACTGAAATCTTTGGCTAGAACAGTTGGCGAAAGGTTTAATTGTGGCAGCCAGAACATCAATTACTCATCATTATGGCTAGAGAAAAGGTTATTCCGTTAAGCTTGAAGGTGGTTTCCATCTACATAAGATATTCATGATCATTTAGTGATATCTGTTTGGAATTCATTATTCCTGTTCCATGTCCTAGTGTTACAATGTTTTTGATTTTTGTTATTGGAGTTAATTATTCAATCAAACAAGACAATTGCTCTGTATTTCAGCATGTGTGCCTAGCGTTTTGTGAAACTGAAAGTCGGAAGTTTCTTGTTGGTGAATTCATGGACTCAGTGCACTTAGCGAACTTGGAAACTGCTCTTGTTCAACTTAAAACAAGAGAATGCCTTGTCCCTACCGGACTGCTTTCACATCCAGATATTTCGAAATCTGATGTCACACCTTTGGGCAATGCTATTTCGGAACACGTCAGTCTTATTTTTGAAAAAACTGGGATTTTACCTACTGAGGTAAAAAAGTGTAAGTCCTGCACCTCGGTAATCGATAGACCTTTCTAAGCTATGTTTGATATCAAAAATATCTCTTAATTTCATATATCGTTGAAATTTCGTCACCGTAGTCGATGTTCTTTTATGTTGTTTGCTAGTGATTAAATTGGGATGACCAAAGGTCTTACTGATCGTATTCTCATTGCTTATTTTTCATACCTCCGTAAAACCTGACTTTCCACATCTGTTAATTCCTCATATCTGCTCTTTTTTTGAAATATCTTAGAGTAATAATTAAAGTTCGAAGATCGGTGATAGTTATTTGTATTAACTGGAAAAGGCCATTTTTGTGAACCAATAAGGAGCGGATTAGATAGTGAACCTGATTACATTATTCAAAGTTACTGTTCAATTTAATACAGAAGGGTCTACGAACCTAGTTAGAATCAACCATCTATTACTGTTGGTTAGCTTTGTTTTAGTGTCAAACCACTTTCAAAAAACCTTCATAAATTAGGGTTAGGCTATAGCCGTATAAATTGACGTGTAGCTTTCATAACAGTCCTAAACCTCCTATTAACAAAAATAGAATAAATCATTGGGTGTGTATCACCCAAAGGAGCGATTGTTGGTGCTGCCAGAAATTTGAATCTGAAATCCGGTCATAATTTAACACCATGCATTAAATCATTCTTGGTCTCCATCTAATATTGATGTGATAATTGTCAAAAGCATTTGATTCCGGTAATGCTAAAAGAGTATATTATTGAATAGTCTAGTCATCAAAGTTAAATAAGTTTATGCATTTCATCATCTCTAATTAAACACTAACATTTTATTAACCTAAGTAAGTTTTTATCGGTGTGTTTTATCAGTTTACCAACTTCTACTCAATTTAGTCTTAGGCTAAAATTTTCGCAATTTATTAGTACCAGACTTGTTCCGAAGACATCCTCAGAAATCTGTGTTAGCTAAACTTAAGGGTCTTCATTTCCCATACACTAAATGGTACCTCACGTTTTTTGATCTCACTACACAAAATTTAAATTAATCAAACAACCATCTTGAATTTATCCGTCAAATTACCCTGTACCACTAGTCAAAAATCCTTTAGACCACCAAAATATACTTATTTTCATACAGATATGTAAGACAAAATGTGGGTTTAATGGGATGAAAAAACGACAACTTTTTGACCACTAGTTATTTTATGAAATCTTCAGTGCGAAATTTAGTCTCTGGTCTAGGAAATTAATGCTTTAAATGACGTAAATCAAGTCTTAAAATTGTAAATCTAAATTGGTGAGATGTGCATCATGTTTACTAAAGCGGAAAATACCTGTTTTAAGGTCAGATGAAACCATATCTCTGATCCCATATTTGTTTGTGATTATGAATTATCAAATACTTTTGGTCGTAGTTTAATGTTGCATTAAGTTTAAATCATTAAACTGAGTTCTCCAACTCACAGTAGGAAATCTTTTTTGTGAATATAGCTGATCAAATGTCGAGGGATTTTTGATTAATGACAGCAGCTATGATTTTAGTTAGTCCCTATTTTTGGTACTTGTATCTGAAGAGATAAAAACACTGAAATTTTACTCTTAGTTTTGATCCACATTTATATAAATGTGGTTTGGTTCCAGTTATGATTTCATAAAGCTCTTTGTTTTTGCTTATTTAAGCTGAATTCTCGCACACAATTAAACCACAAGACTTGATCTATTTCCTGCGATCTGAAAAAGAAAACCCAAATGGCTCTTTGCTCTACGAGAAAGGTAATCTGTTTTTGAATGCTATTCAGTCAGATGCTACTATTATACCCACCGGAAAGCAAAGATAATTAGATTATTGTGGATTTTAATCACAATCTGTACTTGAAATTCATTTGTTTTACTGGTGTACCTACTTTTAGGAATTTTCTATGCAAAGCAGTTGGCTTTGTTTGGCATTTCATGCTATCGAATCAATATTATAATAAGGCTACAACTTTTCCGTTTGTTGTCTACCTAATCCTTTCTATTATTACTGGTATTGTTAAACATTCTAACAATCTGGGATTTATCTTGATAATTTCATTTCGCTATGCTAGTGTAGTGTGACAACTTACACCGATTCACATATGTGACAGGTCCTACATTGAGTATGACTGACTGACTGTAAACAAACCTAAAACCATCGCTTCTCGTATGCTTATGTGGATGTATTTTGTAGTAATGTCTCGTAACAAGTTTTCAGTTGAGTTTTGGTTTTTACATTATTATTGAAACTCATGTTAATTATTTTCTGTTCATGAAGCGGTGTCATAGAATGATCATGTAATCAGTAAAATACCCTGAGGCCTGCAATATATATGGTATAGTTTCAAGGGTTTCTAACATAAATATATACAACTTGTAGAAACTTTCAGATCTTACCAGTAGCCCGAAATTCGACGTCGTTAATACGTGTCAGTCATAGTGAACAAAGAGCTTGGCACATATGATGCTTAAACAACCAGTTAGAAATAATCAACAAAGAGACAGACAAAAATGTATGTCAACGAAAGCTGCTTGATAAGGGTGAACTCAGAAAAATAGACATCAACATAGAGCCCGGCTCAAACAGGAGTTGGTCTAAGTTGTCATATCACGTTAGGTCGACGAAATGAAATTAACAAGATGTACGTCAGAGAAACCGAAATAATGTAGCAGCAACCATAATAAGAAAGAATAAACATTAAGAATGTGGTTCGAAAAGTTGATGGGAAGGTATGTATGGAGGAATATTGGAAACACTGATCTATAGAGGTAGCATGTGAATGCATGCGCGCCACTGAGATCGACTGTGAGCCATGTCACTCAGAGTCTCCGAACATTGGTTACGGTAGTCGCACGAACCCCAACCAAGTAGTTTGCGTCTACCGACATGGCTCAGACCAGAAGTTAGTGACTTCAAGAACTAATGCCAAGTTTTAGTTTTACCTCCCCTAACTTTCTTTCAGCTGTCTTCAACACTAGTTAGTACTGCGCGTCGTGGTAATCGGTGTTCAGACATACGGAACACGTGGCCCAACCATCTCAGTCGATAAATATTTACAACCTCATCAACGGATTTACCATCATTCCCTAATACCCTGCGTCTAACCTCACTATTACTTACCCGATGATTTCAGAAGATGCGAGCAATACTTTAAGACATCTGCGATCAAATACTTGAAGCTCACGAGCATCCTCTACTCTTAGTAGTCACGTTTCGCAGCCGTAAAGTAGAACAACGAACTGCTGCACAGTATACTCGTCCCTTTATTGATAGACATATCTCGTCTTTTCGAATCCGTGCAGATATTTCGTCAGACACCAATTAGAGCTGTTCAGACTTTCATCATAAGTGAAGTTGTCGACTACTTCACTCCCTATCCTTAGTTTAGGTGTTGACGTGGACCAGTGCTGAGGCAACAACTTGCATTTAGATGGGGAGAGACGCATCTCAAACATCCTGGCATTGTCACTCTGTGCTACCTTAAAACTCTACATTTCATTGGCGTCCTCATCAAACAGGACTGTGTCATCTCCGTTCTCTAAGTCGATAAGTCGACCATCTGGTAGGAGTTGAATTCCTGAAAATTCAAACGATAAAAGTAGTAACAGCAAATTGTGTCACTAGTTTATTACTCATATATTATTTTCTTCTATAGCTACCAGTTATTAAACTATTAACAACAAACCAAGTAGTATAAATGTCTACCAAAAAAATGAACTAGTATTTTTCGTACACTTTGGTGTGCATAAAATCATAGATCAAATGTCCAAAACTTGCCATAGTAGTCGATGATATGCAAATTTTATTTCTATTAAAAAAAATATTAGTCAATGGACCCATTCACGCTCTAAACGTCTTTAATACCTAGCTTCATATTATTCCCAACTCTTGAAAATTAGATCCATTGTATTTTAGCCATTATAAAGATAAGCATATGAATAATTAATACTGTAGTGTTCCCACTATATAGAAAGTTACATCTGTTGATTGCCTCCTTTTAACGTTGTTACATCCGAAGAATAACTATTGGGTACCTAGATTATATGTTTACATTCCTTCCGTCATAAGCTTTCATTTGGCTACCGCAATACGATTTGCCATTCTTAACTTGTTCCCAACATATCGGTCACAGTATCCCACGTTCACAGATACTTTTGGCGTGGTCTTGTATGACATTTCTTTTTTCATTCTGTATTATGATGCGGTCTGGTCTGCTTGTATGTAGACCGAGTATGTCTGAAATATACGATCCACACAGTGGAGTCTGATATTTTTGTTCTAGACTGAACGGTTTGTGCTAGGCGAGAAGTTGCTATACAGAGGACCAATAGGAATTGAGAGTTGACTGAAGGCTGTTCGTGCTGGTTAACGCATCATTGCTTTAGCAAAGGGGCAAGGTTATATTAGTCGGTATTCAAAAAGGCGATTTTATCACGTTATTTGATGGACCATAGGACAACAAGTTGGCGACGGGATGGAAAGTCTACGACCTCGACTTTCACAAAGGAATCGAGGCCATCCAGTAGTTGAACGAGAATCAGTGTAATTATTTGAACACAACGTACAGAGCTGTCGTCGGTGTCCTTGCACGACATTAGTTATTAATTAGTCATTCAGTCTTTTTCTTATTACTGTTCTGACTCATGCAGAAGAAGAAAATTAATATGTCAACTTTAATGGAGCAAATGCAATTATTTCTTCAGCAACAGCAGAGTCAATTTTTAGCTTCTCAAGAACAGATGCTTACATCACTTACATCAAAATCTTCAATCCAGTCCAAATGCACCGCAAAAGATGAGGAAATAGAACCATTACTTAAATTAGTCCCAAAACTTATTTTTGATTCGGAAAGTGGTCATATATTTGAATCATGGTTCGCTAGCATCGAATATCTTTCTCGGATGAAAGGAACGTAAGATTGGTATCACAAAAACTTGATCCACAAGGACACTAAATATGGAAATTTTATCCTGCCAAGACACCCAAGGGAGTTGAGTTTTGATGAAACCGCTGGTATTTTGAACAAGATATTTTGTGAACAAGCTTTGTTATTTCATATTCGTTATAGATGCCTCCAGTTAAAAAAGGACTCTGGTGAAGACTATCTGACGTACGCAAGCAGGATTAATCTACAAATTGAACGCTTAAATTAAGTACATTATCAAATGACCAATTTAAATGCTTATTGTTTGTTTTTGGACTATAGTCTTCCACAGATGCCGATGTTCGAACTCGATTATTATCCCGTATTGATGACGAAATGGTACTACAAATAATCACTACATTGCCAACGCTTGCTAAATTTAAAGCATGGCACTGCAATCGTAGGAACTAGATTAAAACCCCCGAAAAATAACAATATCCATTCTGTAAAATACTTCAGAGAAGATAATGTTCTGTTCACAATCGCCACCAAGCTAAACTAAAGAAACTTACAAAATGTTGGTTTTCTGTTGAATGGTATTTTGCGAAGACTTGGTGTTGGAATCACCGATGTAAGGTATGTTGTAAATTTGATCATAAATATACTTTCTGTCAACAACGGAATTATTTAAATTCCAAATCACAAATGAAGTTTTCCCCGAGTCACAGAAAGTATGTTCGTATTATATATTCAACGAATGCATGGAATCTAGTTCATGATCGGGTCTGTTCATAACTAATGTCCCGATTCGTGTTCAATTAGATACAGCATCTAATATCACACTCATTTCTGGAAAGACATGGAAACTTCTGGGTTATCCTTCAATACTGCCTACAGAAAATATGGTTCGTAACGGATTTGGGAGTATTCTAGAACCCGTCGAAATGATCGAATATATTGTTCAATTTAGAGATTACTTTTTAATGAAACTTGTTATTTGACAAGTAGATACGATTTAGACCTTGTCGGTATTGATTGGATCGATAAACTAAATCAATGGAATATCCCACTGGATACAGTTTGTACACTAAACGATTCCTGCACTCTCAATAACTCACCTGTGCTAAATGTAACATCCAAAGCCAAATTGTATTTACAACATGGAGCGAAACCAATTTTCCTTATGAATGTATACATCCAGTTAGTCTTTCATCATGGTCAGCCACTATTGTTGTAGTTCAGAAAACTGATGGAATCGTCCGCCTATGTGCTGACTACTCTACGGGATTGAATAATGCTTTGCAAAATCACTCATATCCATTACCTTTACCTGAGGGTTTATTCATAAAACTAAATGTTGGACGTTATTTTGCAAAAATTGATTTATTTAATGCATATTTGCAATTAGATTACTTTCCGCTCTAAAGCCAGCTTCTTCAATTTTTCAAAAGTTAATACATACTGTGATATTGAATCTCGATGGTGTTGCAGCCTACTTGGATGATATTATTATTGTAGTAACTTTAAAGAAGAATTGTCTTCTTTGGACAATCTACTTACAAGAATATCAGAGTCTGGTTTTCGACTGTAAAAATATAATTGTGAACTATTTCTTGAATCTGTTAATTTTCTTAGATTCATATTTGATAAACATGGTCGTCGACCGGATCCAGATAATATATATGCCACTAAACAAGTGTCTCCACCGACTAATGTAATGACATTACTATCATTTTCAGGAACGATTGGATATTGTAGTGCATTTGTTCCGGCTTTGCTGACACTACGCCGTCCGTTAAATTAGCTCTTAACAGTTAATGCAACATGGAAGTGATCAGACGAGTGTCAAAATCCCCTTGACAAAATCAAGAAAATGTTATCCTCTGATTCATTATTAACACATTATAACTCGTAATTGGAAATAATTGTTGCCGCCGATGCTTTTAATTATCGTATTGGTGTTGTTATCAATCATCGCTTTTCGGATGGTAAGGAATTTGAAATAGAAGTGAGCAGACGACTTCATAAGCACATAAAATGCACTTAGGTTTATTGATGAAAGCAATCGAAAACAAATAGTAATAACACAAGCACGAGATCATGACAATCTGATAATCGAAACCAGAAATTGATAATGCAGTGTTTCAAATGCGTTACAGTTGGATCGTTCTGTCAATTTACCCATCCAACTAATTGCATTAGACGTATCATCTTCAACTACTATTCTTAATATTATCACCATTATTGTATTTTATTACCGTTTTTTTAATAATAGCTGTGAATTTGATAATTTTGTTTACCGAAACCAAACAAATTTGTACATGCTTGTGCTTGGTTACGTCATTGTTTCTCTCGCTTACTCCACTTATATTCAAACTAAACTCGTATAAATATCAAAAATAATCATAATTATTTTTCACTACACACATGTTATACACAAAATTGCACTTAATAAAATATTCTGTTTATCTCTACAGATTAATGCTTATATGAGGGAAGATTTTAGCGTAGACCAAATGAAATAAAATCATTTCATTCTTCATAATGTTTTGGTTGTTATCCTTTACAAAAACTAGTCCCAGGCAATTAATAATTGCTTAAAGTTTTGCTTGTTCGTACTTACATTATATATATATATATATATATATATATATATATATAATCAATTCTTTTACATCGAATTTTAGAGTTTCTTCTCAAAGATGCATTGTCTTGTCTGGGTGCCATAATAAAATTCCTAGATGTAAGTTTTTTACTTTCGTAGCTAACTGAAATGATACTTTCGAATGTTCTAAGTTCCTTTCTTCGGTCATTGAATATAATTAATGAGTGTCAAGTTAATAAGTATACTGATCAATGGTATGCTTGATTGTTCCTTATAATTTTTTTGAAGTGGTTAATCTCGGTAGGAAAAAAAAGCTTGACATTATTATGAGCTATCGTTAATTTAATCGAGTTGATTGTTTAGTTTCTTTGAGTGGTCACTCCATATATATATATATATATATATATATATATATATATATATATAATCACTAAACTTTTGTCCTTAATAGGATAATTATCATTGAACCTTAAAGAGTTGATATCTACTTTTTGTGTACCGAGCTCTTTTCTTAAGTAATGCAATACTACATCATTTGTCTGTCAAGTTTGCTGAATACAATCGATAAATCTAACGATAATTTGATGCCCGGGATATAACAGCGTTCTTGTCTTTTCTAACTTCAACTACTTCAAAAGACAAACCTTATAAAATAGATTTATCGGGAGAGATCGAAGAAGATTAATATTTTTTAAATAAAACGTTATATTTAGGTATTTAGCAGCTCTAAGAACTATCGTCATTATAGTACAATCTAGCGATAATTAGTGAAGTCAGAAAATCAGTAAATATTATACTTATAGTAAGAATCAAATTAGTGTTTCTGTGTTCGTTTTTCCTTAATTTTTCCTTGTAGTTATCAAAGTGCCACAAATTAGTTCATCAATTTTCCAAAAGGAAAGCAATTCGAGGTTTGAGTTTGTACATGACAAACAGATATCCATCTAAAGCCTGATACAGATGTGTGTTATCCTAAAATGGCAAATCACACATCAGCACTAGATAAAATTAACAGAAGAAATCGAAAGAAATACTTAAACTTGGGACTATAGTTTGAGGAGACAGAATGGAAAAGTAAGTATAAAAAGATACTGAAATTGGGAGAATGAATGGGTTTGAACCAAGTCACCCCACTTTTTAACGATTGATGGCGATCATCACGTGTAAACCAACAAATCTGTCCATGAAATAATACCCGTGAACATGTCTCTCAATCTTATAAATTTCTTTTGGACCAAATATACAATACACTACAGCAAATCTCGGAAAATTTACATTGTTAACTTTTTTGATTACTGATGTTGATACATCGAACCTACGATTAATAATGCAGGTATCATTACAATAAAAAACAATAATAACGATACATATCCTTTCCTAAGCAATGTTCTGAATTAACGAGGGAAAAGAATTTCATTTCAAGCATTCTTCGCATCATTACTTAGAAACTTCAGAAGAATTTGCACTTTAACAAAATAGAACTAATCTTATCTGCCTGCTAATATAAATCGATAAAGGGACATGGTTTATAATAAAATGCAAGTTCTAGGTTATTTAAGCTTTGCTATTTAGTGTTTGCGAATATTTGAAGCTGTTTTTGTAATACATACTATTGGTTGATAAATTCCCCTTGTGAATTGGTGTACACTTTATTTATTTATATGGTTGAATGAAATTTCTTGATGGATCCTAGATTTTTCCGTCACATTTTTTTGTTTTTTAATGGGATGTTTGATTTATCTTCTAATTGGTCTTCTTTTTCATTAGCTAAACGCTTTTGACACGAATCGTCATGTATTCACATTAGAAACTTTTAGTCTTGAAAATCATGTACGCCTAGATAGTGCTGCCAGTCGGGCATTGCACTTATTACCTGGTCCAGATGATAGTGAGTGTTAAGTGGATAAATTGTTTGTCATTTGACTATATGATTTTTTAAACAGTAATACATAAAAGCCTTACCTGCAAATTTTCGCTGATTATATAACCCTCGTTTTTCTGAAATGCACCTCCCTCTAATGATATAAACAACGCTTTTTCAATTTACCTTTAAAGTAACAACAACATGAGTAGCAGATTGATAGAGGCACCTGACCTTCAGTTATTAGATCGCAAGTTTCTCAGTTCACCTATTTTGATACAGAAAATCGGATAGTATTTCTAGCACTCAAGTTGAAAGTGTCTGTAGGTTTAGTAAATAGCCATGCACTTTGCTTGACTAATGTGTGTAATTTATTCGACAAGTGCCAAAGTGATCACGCGATTATAATTTCTACTTAACGCTAAATCAGTAATCATAAAAAAGAATTCTATTATTTGCATAAATTAATTTTGTAAAGAAAAATATGGACAGTGTATAATCATGATAATGTAATAATAAAGCGTATAATACTAAATCATGTAGTGTAAATGACAATAATCCAGGGTTGCGTAAATTTTACAGAATATGTATAAAAAAGAAAAGAGAACAAAATCAGTGTACTGACAGTGCATTATAATATAAATAGAGTAAGGCATTCATAACAAAAATCTTTTTTTCGCTAATTAAGCATGAATATATTTTAAAATTATTTTAAAGGACACTGGAAATAAATTATAATTGAATAGATTAGAGGAATACAATAAATAACTAATGGAAGAAGAGCGTTTTCAAATGCCATGGTGCATAAAATGAAAGTAGTTATACTAAGGATGCATCGTTTCTGGAGCGTTTTAAAGACTGATTTAATTTGTATATAATCTGTATATACACGGATCAAACTTGTTTGGGGATATCATTAAAAATCAGAGTACTGGATAGCTATTTCGCTCTAGTATCAGACTACTTAGTTGTGCACACTCACGACCTCACCAGCAATCAAACCCAGGATCTTCAGATCTTATTGTGATTGCTAAACCATTAGATTATTAGGTCGTATATCCAATCATATACATTTTCAAATCCAATCGATTTGTTACTTTGCCGACAGCCATTCAATACGATTAATGATAACTATTTTATTCTCAGTGTCTATCTGTCATGAATTCCCTGCAGAACTTCAGTAACTTGTCTCAAAGTTAGTTATTAGTAAACACACGATCATATGTTTATTAGTAAATGCAAATATAAGACAGATTTATTCTCTATACAGTGCCCTGAGATTCAGCTGCTCATAACAAAGTAGGTGAAGCCGAGTTCTCGCCTACAATCCAACTTCTGGGAGTCAAGTGTTTTAATTACCAGGTGCTAATCTCAGTCATTTCCGATCGGTTACATAATAACTAAATTAAATATTAAATAATAACAGTCTATCGCTGTTGTAAATTATTTATATTTACTTTAATAATTTCTTAACGCATATACTGTTTTACTTGTAACCTCCAATGTTTTAGAAAACAAGTTTCACAGTGTTTATGGCGCATTGAACAATTGTCGAACGGCTCAAGGCCAGCGTCTTCTAGCTCAATGGCTTCGACAACCTTTGATAGATAAGTCAAAAATTGGTATGTCATTATAACGTAAAAAATTCTTTACAAGATAATAGTTGTAGTCGAATTAAAATATCTCGTTAACAGGCAGTAGCCTTATATAATTACATCATTTTGTGAAAGTATTTATCTAGTATATTATTAAATGTATACTAAACATCTATAATGCATCTACAATATAATTTCTTGAAATTTATGGTAGGAATCCAAGTGCCTACCTTGCAAACTAGTTTACATCTAATGTTCACTAGATTGGTACACTGGTAAATAAAAATGTAACACCAGACTGTTGTAAATAAGTTAATGAAGGTAATTACCACATTACTTGTTTTAAAGATCACTTTTTAGGACACATTAACGACTATCATTGATAAATCCATCAAGAATTTTCTCTTATATATTTATGAATTGTTTCCCTTCAACGTTAGGAAATATTTATTCACCGCTTAGATATTCGTACGTAACTTTTAGTTTATTTCTTAATTTGTAGAAGAACGTTTGGACTTAGTTGAATCGTTTGTTGCAGAAACTGCGATACGTCGAGGATTGCATGAAGATTTCTTACGTCGCATCCCTGATTTACAACGTCTAGGTCGACGTCTTAAGAAAATCAGAGGTTCTGGCCTTCAGGTTGGTTGATTAATATCAATTTTTGGAAATAATCTTTCTGTTTAAATTTCTTATTTTTATTTTATTATCTCAAATTGTTTGGATTCAAGCTTTTATGTTGAATCTCAGGTTTCGAACTTTAAAAATAGTCCCAGTATTAATAATAAATTATTTGATAAACTATCACTGATCATGATGACCAGTGGCGGTGGTAGTAGGTCTTAGTTTCTAGCCCTTTACCATTTACTTCAGTTTAGACAGTTGAGTAATACCAGCAGTTTTCACGTAACTAAATTGTACTTGGACATCAAGTACAAATGCTTACACTTGATAAATAAGTTACATTTGTTTATATTTGACTGGAGATTATTAAAATACTTTTTTTCACAAAAAGTCATTCTTGAATTATTTCACAATTGATGCCTTAATATTTTTAATGTCATTTAAAATATCCTTGTATTGATTTGACTTTCTTTTAATTGGATTTTTAATGGAACCTATCTAAGTATGTGTTTAATGTACTTGGCTTTGATATACACTTTTCACTTGATGATTAATGGTTGTACCCAACAATGAAGTTTTGTTTGAACATCCAACATAGACTGTTTCTTACAGTGATTAACGTGTGCACAAACACCAATTTTCTTTACAATAGGAATAGCTCAACTCCGTGTAATAGATACATATACAACTGTTAACAGTCACAGTGTAGACTATGTGTTTTCTTTACTCTTAACTCGTAACTGTAACAGAAAGGGTTGTCTCTTGGCTCGTTTCTCTATGGAATTGTTTCAAGGTATGCTTCCTTGTAAATTTAGTATATTTGTATATCCCTTTTGCTGACCTATCTTCATCTTTAGCCCCCGACCACAGATAAACTATTGGTATTCCCAAGAAATGGATTTGTTTATTCGTTTTCGCTTCCTTCTAGGATGTTGATAGCCTAAATAATGCAACTTCATTCACTCAAGTTTCCTCAATTTCATATAGGAAAACACCAGTTTGTCTTTAATTCACCCTAGTAACCGACATGCTCGTCTCTAACAAATCATAATGAAATGTTTAAAAAATGTTTATTTTAAGATATTTATGGATAGACAGATACATACACAATATAGTAATAACATTTTTGAACTCAATACTTATTCATTCTTTCATGAGTAAATTTTTTTTATCAGTAGTGGATTCATTCGATTTCTAATCTGATATACACGATTTTTCCAAAAGTGTCTTCCCCGTGTCAAACCAAATTTATCTTCGTCATCTTCATCCAGTTTTCTTCCAAAGTACCTTTTACGCCTACAACATTTAGCATTATCCAAGCAACAATTCAGTGGGTCACGTAAAGTCCAAGGACGTTTTGTTAATCCTATTAAAAGAACAGTTGATTATTTTTTTTCAGAAGTAACATTTGGTAATGTGAGGGGTTTGAGAGGATTAATGAGTTTTGTAGTTTGCACTATGGACTGACCTTAGCTTGACAGACACTGGAAACCAGAGTGCATTTAGCGGTTCTTTTGCTCTAGTGTGGGACTTCTCACTAGTGCGTGTTTACAACTTTGCCATGGATCCGATCTATGACCGTCAGGTCTTGACACCCACATAACCCTGAGATCAGTAAGTTGGAATCCATTTGTTTACACTTCTAACTTCAGCCAATCCATGATACTAAACAGCCATCTCCTCATGCCATTGGTATTTAACTTTCTCCACTAGTCGTGGCTTCTAAACAGAACTTCAAGTATCACCCCTGGAGATTAGTTAGTATTTTACATGTTAGGCGCTCGCAACAGGATCTGAATGTCCTGGGTTCGACTGTCGGTTGGGTTATGATTACGCACTACTAGGGCGTCCCATACTAGGACGAAACATCCGTCGGTATCTAATCTATAGCCCGTAACAGTTTGTGAAAAAAACAATCACTTGTATATAAACGAAGAATATTCTTTTCAGCGACTTATCAGTTTACACTCAAATTTATCAGACTTGTTTAATAATAATGATTTCTTATACACTTAAACGCAGTGTAATCAGCACTCATCTCTGGATTTAATTGATTTTCATATCGATTCGTGTATTATGTAACTTCTGATCCAAAACATGATACATTTAAATAATTACATTAGTTATTTCTCTTATTCTATTCTAATCTCAAATATGAGCTCTAAAAAACGGTTTAGTTATTTGAAAAAAATCATATAATACAAATGCAAAAACACAAAAGGTGACGAAATTTAAGGGGAAAATTACTAGTATTGAAAGCTTGTTGAGTTTCATGGTACACATCATGAACTAGGTTCAACTATATCATCTGAGCACAACGAACAAATTACAATGAACCCTTAGATCATACAGAATCCTAGCATTCTCTATAAAACAACGAACACTCTTCAAAATGTTTTAGTTCAAACAAAAGATCAAATTTCTATCACTTAAATATAGAATCTGTGTCTATAGACTAGGATGTGTAAATTTTGATGCGTTCTGTATGGGAGTCTCGTGAAATTATGACTCACACCAAAGATCATATAAGCTACACTAAAAGACCTAACGATTCTGCAGAGCGGGGGAATCTACAAATCAAACCAACAATAACAATACATGCTATTTTAACAACCTTTATATCGATCTTAATAACGTCAAAACGAAAAGCGAGTAGCTTCAGACTTTCATGCTTTGCTAAAACCTACCGCGTTTAGCAGAAACAAACCCTCAACAATCCATACAAGATGGACCATTTATCTAAATACATGTGACCTGAAGGTCTTGCGTTTAATCTCCAGTGTGGTGTTTGATAGGAATTGCAACGGAGTCCCATACTAGATTAAAATACTTATCCTGTTTTATGATTTCCACTAGTTGTTTAACTAACGTCAATTCGTGATATGAAACCTAAAACTGTATTGGGTAATTCACAACCTCCCGATTAACAGGCTATCAGTAATTGATAAAGAGCCCAAATCCAATGGTGTATTTGTTCAAACCATAACAACTACACAATAGTAGGATAGATTAAAAAGCGAATACAACCATATTTATCAGATCGAAAATTTCTAAGGCAAAAACAGTTATTAAGGAAAGAGACGATAAAAAACAGACGAAAGTACGATTAAAAATATGTATTTCTAACATGATATTTAACAATTGACTGAAAAATAAAAACTTGTAAATGTATTTGCACCACTGACTCTTACTTTAAGCAGCTTTGTCACCTAATTTCCTGACAGATTTCATTTGCGTACTTTTCATTTTATACATAGCTTAGAATGATTTCGTTGGCTAACTAGTATTCTATAAACTATCAACACCAGCTTTCTTGGTCTAATTAAGATTTAACCATTTTAATATTTCTATCAAAGTAGAATCATTATGTGGACGAAAAATGCTCACTACACGTTAGGTGGTGGGAGGTAGTCTACAGAAAACCCTGAACCTAGATTCCATGTTATTTGACACTAGTTATCAAGGCGTACCTCCATTTTTCGGGGAAATATGTTCAAACCCGGGTCACCTAGGTTCATAACGTTGAGAGGTTTCCATGGAGCTTTTCGGGTTGTGACTGACCTGTAAATATTATTTTCAATAAATTCTCTTCAGGTTACATGATTTCTAGCTTAAAGTAATAATCTTAAGTAAAATGGTCACTTTTAAGTTAAAGCCATTAAAAAAACCAAAAACATGAATTAAGGATCTTTAGTAAAATGGATTTGTACGCGTCGAAATGAATAACATGTAACATATATTTCGGTCAGATTATAGCTTAAGCCAATTTCCAATCTCACCTAATGTTAGATGACAACTACCTTCGGGTGTTGGAAAATTTAAAACCTAACCGACTTTGACAAATTATCGCCAGTCAAGTAGATTGAAAACGATTGTTAATTTGAAGGCTGTTTTTACAAGATCGGTTAAAATAAAACTACACCTTTACTTGGTTACTTATTCAAAAAAACGGAAGAAGTAAAACATCATACTTTGTGTAACCATTAACAGAATATTTCATGTGGTTAGTAATTAAATTACAGGGTTTGATGTATTTATGGAGACCAATATAAGCTCTCTGTGATATTGTTCATGAATTGACCCCACTATGGCGGGGGTCATTATACACCAAGGGACATTGGATAGCTGTTTCATCTTAGTATAAGACTTTAACAGTATGCCCTCACGAATTGATTAAAGCTAAAAATTTTTACTCTTACATGTCAACTCCGAGGTCTGACGGTTAAGCACTCTCCTAAAGACCTGAGTTTTCGGGGTTGGATCCCTGTTTCAATGCAATGTACGTAACCCTTTGATTTGAGCTTCTTTCAAATTCCATGTTCTGATGTTGATAACGATATAATGGGATAAAAACGTGACATCATTTTCGGTCAGTATTTTTTATATCAATTCAGTATGAATTTCATTGTATATGACCTTCATGAACCTTCATTCATCTAAGGCACACTACATTCAGTGTTTTTGCAGTAACCCTATATAATTTCCCCTGTACATTATGATACTATGTGTAAAACCCAGTATATAAATGGGTGTATTTTGGTCTAACAACGACGTATCTTGAGACTTTTTGAACTAGTCAATTGGTTTCCATTTGCATCAGTCTTCTGTGTTCTCGCTTTGCGTCGTGGGAATTACAGTGGTCCCCGATTGTCACGTATAAACAGTAAGACTACGGATACAAACTAGTGACACAAGCACTGCAGACGCATTTGAAGTTATGATTCAGTTGGTTATTTTTTAAATTTTTATGTCATAGTCTTTGATATGATCTGACAGAATCCGAACAAAAATGGTGTTATTTTGTACAATGCGTTGATTGGTTTAACATTTTCGTATAAATATTCATGTATATTAGAGTAAAGCCTGATGACGATCAAATTGAAAACAATTGTTCGCTTATATGTGTTCTAATTTTCACAATGGGAATCTTTAACATTCAAAAAGGTGTAATTAAACAACACTTATTTGTTTACTTCAGTTAAATTGAATTAAAGAAGTTTTCTGTGACATGTATTTCTAAGTTACAAGAGGGAAGATAGAAATAAATTTACTAGTTACTTAAAAACGCAATTAGTATGTGAAAAAAACAATTGATTAGTTAAATACTCTTGTTCGTCGTACTACTCACTCTTAATTTTATAAATTATTGACTTTAAATACAAACTATCAGTGTGGAAAAAACTATTTGTTCAAAGCAAAATGATATCATTTATGCTTGTTTTTTTTAAAGTCAGAATATGATATATATATTTTCTGATATGCGTGAATGTGACTGACTTAATCATTACTAATTATCATTGTTCGATATGTATTATTATGCAACTTCAAAGACTACATAATGTACTCACAATTGAGGCGATTTCCCAAGTCCTAGTGAGGAGTCGTAACCAATGGAGTTGAACCATTTCAAAGGTGTTTTGTTCTCTGAGTCCTATCGTATAATCGTCGGATGTGGATCAGTTACACACTAATAACATTGGAAGATATGTTTACAGAATGGTGAAATGCAAGCTATTGGATTCCAACTCAGTGGTGTAAAGGTTAAGTTCGCACCATGAGACCTTATAGTCCCAGTTTTGATCCTTGGTGAGCTCTGTCGAGGAGTTTCATATTAGGATCTAACCCACGACTGTCAGGTCTCATAATGAACGTATAGCTATTAGAATCACTGAATTACCATTCAATGGTTGACATTCATAACTTCGCAGTATTTCTCAGCCATCCTTCAATTATAATGGTAGGTCACATATAAGAACAAAAAAGCTGTCTACTGCTCCTTTTTTCAGTGAGTGTTTTACCTAGAATAGTTCGTGGTATTAAGTATGAAATCCAATAATCTGGACAAGTATCTTATGGTAATAATTCCAGTATAAGTACTTAAAAGTCCTAAGTTTACTAACTTATTAAAATGACAGGGGACTTTAACTATAATTTTTTAACTTTAGTACTCTATAAACTACTCTATGTTTTTGTTTTACACATAATAACTGTCCTTTATCCAGTTTCGTAACTATAAGTAAGATTCAGGACTTTTAGTAATAAATGCCGTTTGATTATCACTCAATTATACTCTAGTGAGAATTAAACGAGTTTTCACGTTAGAGGGGATATTGCCTTAATTAATTCGTCGAATCATCCGATTTACAATTAGATAACTTCTTTAATCGTACATCTAAATCAGTAATACAATTATTTTTCATACCCTTGTGTTACATGTTCGGAATCCTACTATATTCAATTATATTTAACCTTGCGTATAGTTATTGAATCACGAGTGACTTTAGTACTCCAAAAAACCAGTTTTCTATGTATAGAGTTGATCATGATATACTATGCATCAATTTTTTGTTTCAAGCTATATGCGTTTCTTCCTTTAGTATGGTGAAAAATATAGTACTTATATTCAGATGAGTATAGGAGTCTAGGCTACAAAAACTGATTAAATAAAAATCTTTGCGTGGTTGTTATTACTCTATTCTACTCTCTTTCTCTCTCGACTTCAGTAGCTTCTTAAAACGGTTTCTATATTGGCAATTTAGTGATCGTAATCAGTTTTTTTATGTCGAATTCTATCTAAATCGTGCCTTTCCATCATTTTCTGTTGATCACACTAATATATTTTCATATCTTTCACATAGAACCCAGAAAAATTGACCGCTTAAATGTTTAGACTATTAAATCAAAGTTTATACTGTTCATTCAATTATCTCTATTTAATCTTATTGAGTGAAACATTTGTCTTTCTTTGATTGATGTAGTTCAACATGTACACATGTCATTCTTATTCCCTCCATGTTGTTAATAAACTTGTTGTCTATTACTGTCTATTTATTTTGGATGTGTAAACAAACAAGTAATCTAAAAATTACATAACATATATATGGTTTAGATTACATTTTAAAAATAAACTAACTTTCTTCATTTTGTAGAATTGACCGTGGATATTCGCTCCATATTTTATAATATTGTCCAAATGTTCCGTAGATAATTATTGTAAACGAAATAAGCGTGAAGCATTTTATATAGATCATAGTTTTTATTTACGACTTTCTTGCGTGTTTATTTTTTAACAAAGAAGAACACCTTTGGTTTGTTTTCTCCCTTCTGTTTTTTTCTGATGATTTGTTTATTTTAATTAAATCAGTTGTAGAATGGTTAATTAAAATATACTCACTCTATATATGTATATATAGATTTCCATTTATCGTAGGTTGGTAGCTAGAAGAATTTGATTCATTGGTTCTTTGTCTAAGAACCAATCAAGTTTGAGATGTTTGGCTTTTATAAGATGAGTCTATCATGTTTTATGGGAAACTAGAATGCCCACACATATTTGTAGAAGATGAGTTTACTAACCGTCAGTTAGCCTATAACATGAACCAGACTTTATGGTTTTTTAGAGTAGATGGATTGTGGCTAACAGGGAAATTCAAGCTGCACGTTTCTTCTTATTTGCGACTGGTCATCTGGGTGTGCTTCCGTATTCCAGTGTTGATGTTCATATTAGGATGTGAATTTAATGCCTTTCGTTTCGAACGTCAACACACTATTTACTGAGCTACTGAGTCCAGATAACCACTAATTTATGCAACGGGTATGATATTTACACCATTATTAGCATGACTGTTTATGATTCACTTGTATATAGTTGATTGATTAAGATTAGGATTGTATCCGTTAGTTTTTTAATATCCCTGATTACAGCGAGACATAGAATAAAATCAACGAAATGATTAAGAGTCGCTGGAACAACATTTAATGGATGTTATATACTTCTCTTTCAGGATATGTGTTCTTATGAGAGCATGGTGAAGTCAACTATGCCTTCTTTCTGTTTCACATATATCTGGTCAAAGACGAATGATAATAGTCGCCTCTGTAAAGCAAAATAAATGCGATATCGGCTGTCTGTTAATTATTTAAGTCTTCGAATCTAATGCATCTCTTCATCAAAGCCCCATCAATCACACTTATAAAATTTTTGATTCTTCTGTCAGTTATCCTCAAGAAACCTTGCATAATATATCTATTTTCCTAAGTGTATTCGGTCAGTTAAACGCAACATAGAACGCGGTATGCGTGTACACAGACTCAATTTACCATAGCTCATCTGCATAGCCAGAAGAAAATCTCGAAATGAATCTCAGAGTAGTTGAAGCAATAACAGTATTAATGGTAATGCCCTGGTACGGCCGAGAGTGAGGAGAGTCCGCTCTCCCTCTCGAAATGCTCTCACATGACCATGCGTATATAGCCTCTGCCAGGGAAGTCCTACTGACTGCCTTCTCGTGGCGGGGGTGTTGTTTACGAAAATGAGAGAACGAAAACCGAATGTCCGGCGCTTTGACCGAATTCCAAACCAATGGTGCACATGGGCTCCAGTATCCTGCAGGAACAAATGGCGTATGAACCAATTGTTGGTCACCGGCTTCCATGGGACTGCATCTTCTTACGATGCTCCACTGCCTTGTGGGTTAGACCTTCAGGTCGAAGGCTCGGGGAGTGGCCCCCCAAGAGAACCACGTGCTTCGGTTTGGGCACCTGGGCAGTATCACAGCCCTCACACATACCGAATGAGATTTGTGTGGCGCATATGTATTTGGTGCCTCCTTGTACCAATATCTATGTGTTAAAATCAATAAATAATGGTAATATGAAAGTTTAGGTATCCAAGATACAATTCTTGAAAAAATTATAAGCTACTGAGATATTTAAAAATAAATTTGTGAGGAATTGACGAACCTAAGATTGTAAAGAATACAAAGAGAATGCAATGCGCCGTTGCAGATAATTTCGAGCTGTCGTTCGAAGTCTCTGAACATTGGTTGCTATAATCTAGTGGATTCCAACCAGGTAGTGTGTACGTGCTTAAATGCCCAGTCGAATTGGGATTGTTTACATGAATTGATGTCACGTCTTGATTTGACCACACTAACTTTATTCTAACCTACTACATTTGCCATCATTTGCTTCGAGGTTGGTGGTGGTTGGGCGTATGTAGCATATGTCTCACTAACCTTAGTTGAAAAATATTTACTACCTCATCAGTTACATCTGATTTCGTAAATATCAAGATTATGTTTATTATCAAAAATATTCTTCATTTATATTTCTACACACTTTAGGATGTCTATCGTATATATCAAGCTGTTTTACGCTTACCATATGCTGTTTCATTATTGAATCAATACACGGGATCCAAACGATCAACAGTTTACGAATGTCTTATAACACCTTTACAAGTAAATTAGTTGTTAATTCTACGTCTATATTATTTATTTATTTATTTCATGCCTATATTCGATTACTCATCTAAATGATATTCAAGATTCAGAAATTGTGAAACTTCATATCCGTATGTTTTTTAATTCATCGGTATCATTTGTAAAGTGCCCAAGTGATAGTTTCTAGTTAATCGTGGTTGGAAATCTCAAGTGACATGAAATAAAATCAGTTCTTTTGTATCCGAAAATGATTAAATTATGTGTAACTTCTGGAACATATTTATAGACTGTTATTATATATATATATACGGCCGAAAGTGGGGAGAGTCCGCTCTCCCTCTCGAAATGCTCTTACATGACCATGCGTATATAGCCTCTGCCAGGGAAGTCCTACTGACTGCCTTCTCGTGGCGGGGGTGTTGTTTACGAAAATGAGAGAACGAAAACCGAATGTCCGGCGCTTTGACCGAATTCCAAACCAATGGTGCACATGGGCTCCAGTATCCTGCAGGAACAAATGGCGTATGAACCAATTGTTGGTCACCGGCTTCCATGGGACTGCATCTTCTTACGATGCTCCACTGCCTTGTGGGTTAGACCTTCAGGTTGAAGGCTCGGGGAGTGGCCCCCCAAGAGAACCACGTGCTTCGGTTTGGGCACCTGGGCAATATCACAGCCCACACACGAAAAATGATGAACTGTCTATATATATATATATATATATATATATATATATAATATTATATAACTCTTAAGTAACTAGATTATATGTTTACATTCCTTCCGTCATAAGCTTTCATTTGGCAACCGCAATACGATTTGCCATTCTTAACTTGTTCCCAACATATCGGTCACAGTATCCCACGTTCACAGATACTTTTGGCGTGGTCTTGTATGACATTTCTTTTTTCATTCTGTATTATGATGCGGTCTGGTCTGCTTGTATGTAGACCGAGTATGTCTGAAATATACGATCCACACAGTGGAGTCTGATATTTTTGTTCTAGACTGAACGGTTTGTGCTAGGCGAGAAGTTGCTATACAGAGGACCAATAGGAATTGAGAGTTGACTGAAGGCTGTTCGTGCTGGTTAACGCATCATTGCTTTAGCAAAGGGGCAAGGTTATATTAGTCGGTATTCAAAAAGGCGATTTTATCACGTTATTTGATGGACCATAGGACAACAAGTTGGCGACGGGATGGAAAGTCTACGACCTCGACTTTCACAAAGGAATCGAGGCCATCCAGTAGTTGAACGAGAATCAGTGTAATTATTTGAACACAACGTACAGAGCTGTCGTCGGTGTCCTTGCACGACATTAGTTATTAATTAGTCATTCAGTCTTTTTCTTATTACTGTTCTGACTCATGCAGAAGAAGAAAATTAATATGTCAACTTTAATGGAGCAAATGCAATTATTTCTTCAGCAACAGCAGAGTCAATTTTTAGCTTCTCAAGAACAGATGCTTACATCACTTACATCAAAATCTTCAATCCAGTCCAAATGCACCGCAAAAGATGAGGAAATAGAACCATTACTTAAATTAGTCCCAAAACTTATTTTTGATTCGGAAAGTGGTCATATATTTGAATCATGGTTCGCTAGCATCGAATATCTTTCTCGGATGAAAGGAACGTAAGATTGGTATCACAAAAACTTGATCCACAAGGACACTAAATATGGAAATTTTATCCTGCCAAGACACCCAAGGGAGTTGAGTTTTGATGAAACCGCTGGTATTTTGAACAAGATATTTTGTGAACAAGCTTTGTTATTTCATATTCGTTATAGATGCCTCCAGTTAAAAAAGGACTCTGGTGAAGATTATCTGACGTACGCAAGCAGGATTAATCTACAAATTGAACGCTTAAATTAAGTACATTATCAAATGACCAATTTAAATGCTTATTGTTTGTTTTTGGACTATAGTCTTCCACAGATGCCGATGTTCGAACTCGATTATTATCCCGTATTGATGACGAAATGGTACTACAAATAATCACTGCATTGCCAACGCTTGCTAAATTTAAAGCATGGCACTGCAATCGTAGGAACTAGATTAAAACCCCCGAGAAATAGCAATATCCATGCTGTTAAATTCGAGCAGTGTAGTTCGTCGTATCATTCCGTATTATGTTGTTGATAATTTTAGATACGCCGCAGTGTAGGAGACGATACCATATATTTCACCTATCCACACTGTCAAACGCTTTCTCATAATGAACTAAGTTGATGTACGGTGACGACTTCTATTCTATTGATTGTTCAACTATGATCCGTTGCTTCTACCTTTACGTGGTGGTCGGGTTTGCCTATCGTAATAAAGCAATTGAGCTATACTGGCTGGAACAATCGTTCCTCAAGGTCCTACTATACCAGACAGGTCGGTTAAAGAGCGATAGGACTAAAAGCAACAAACCAAAGGTTCGAGGGCGAAGTCGTACTGCTAACTGTACAGAGGTGTGACAGCGGTTAGGTGTTTTCTTCAGACAATTAGAATAATAGGGATGCTGCCTTCCCACAAGCAGGGGTGGATTTAGAAAGGTTCGACCCTAAAAATGCACACCTCATCCCAGCAATTACGGAGCTTAAACGGAAATTAATCATAAAAAGATCATCTGTAACCGAGCTCAAGCAGTTGTCTCTTGGACACTGCGGTCACACTCTCAGGTCACTAAATCCTTTACTTACCCAAATTTATTTTTCAGGTGCCTCTAGAAGAACCCTTCTACAATGTGGGCAACTGTGAAGTGATGACTGCCCTCCTACCTCTAACAGCACTCAAGATCACTGTGGAGTCGAGATTCGAGCAATGATTTTTGTCCATTGTTAATTATCACATGTTAAGATCACCAATCAAAACACCGACTGTGTCAAACCAAGGACGTGTTAATCAGTTTGAGCAACCTAGTGTCAATTTTAGTTCTTCACACCTAGCCTTTTTGTTAGGTTCCAAATCATAAATCTCAGCTTCCACTGTATGAATCATTTGGTTCGGACATACTTGGTTTATATACAAGTAAACCAGACCACACCATAAAATAAGAAATAACAATTATACGAGAACAAGCCAAAAAGTGGCTGTGATTGTGAGAGACAGTAACATATTGGGAATAACTTAGGAATATTAAATCGTATAATAGTAGTTAATAGGTCACATAAAAGCTTATGATAAAAAGATTATAAACATAATCGAGTTATTTAACAGTCTATAAATAGTCTCCAGGAGTTACCCACAATTTAATCTTTTCCGGTTATATCAACATTGATATATCTATTCTCAGTTTCCAGCTATAGAGTTGTAAATCTGACGAAACTTTTCTCCCTAGCTTCATTTGTAATCAGTGTGATTTTTGTATGTATCATAAATATGGATGTGGAAAGTTGTGCACTACGCTAACATTTTTCCTTTATTGCGCATTAACAGATGTGTTTATCAGTTACACAACAAATTTAGCTTTACTGTTTTTGTAAGCAGATTATGTCTTAATTCCCTTAACCTGCATTGTGTAAACAAAAAAACAATATATGACCTGTTTCTTTCCACAGAATACTTTTCATTTTTCATTGTTACTATTATTATCGTTATTATTACTAACAATAATATTTCAAAATGTTTACTATTGTCCGTTGAACAGAAAGGTTTTTTTTGAAAATATGCACAAAAATAGCATCTTTATATTCATGTGAATTAATATTTATGTTTACAACCTGTTGTTTATTTCACATAGATTGGATAAAAATGTTTTAAGTATTTATATCTATTTATGAATATTTGTTGTGTTTTTTTTCAAATTTATTATATCGATGGTGTGTTACTATTTCATCACAGTTTCCATTCATACATGATGAATATCCAGGCATGCTGAAAAATGCACCGTGAAATGTTTTTAAAATATTGTTAAAATCATTTTAAGCGATCTTATCGCATCAACACGACGTGATGAAATTAAAAAGAATAGCAAATTAAATCGAATTAATGTCAGTTTCAATGGTAATGTAAAATATTGAACATCAAGAGTACTGTTCAAAAAGACAATGAAAAGCTATTCTTGAAGAAATACTGCAAATCAAGATTTACAAAAAAAGAGTAAACGTATCTTCCACAGCACACAATATTTCCAATAAGCTATCGTGATTATCAATCTAATCGCTATCAAGTAGTCTACCCTTGCCAACGTGGCTCAGACCAACAGTCAATGACTAGTTCCAGTTATATGCTTTTGCTCTCCATATTTTTTTCAACTAGTTCCTATACCACCAAATATCGAAGTAGGCTGTTGTTCGACATCAGTAATACATTCATCACCTCAGTTGATGAAGATCTAATACCTAATCAATTAATCTGCCTGCTATGTTTGTAGGGATTACGAGCTCACCTAAATCTGCAAAAGGAAACGGAGATTCAGCGACACAATGACCAGAGAAGCTAGCTATTCTGATGCGTCCCAGCTTCCGCTAACTAGAGAGTGGGGTCCAGGTTCAGAAGAAGGGAAATATATTCCACAAGCAGCCAAAAGCATCAGCAATATCAACAAGCACAACTTAAGTGTATATATACAGCGTAGAAATGTCCATGGAAAACATCATGAAATATCATATTAAAAGGGACTACAAACCGAATAGGAAGTAGGATATGAAGGTGAAAATAAGAAATTCAAATATCCAAAATAAAATTATAAAAACAAGACATTTATTAAGCGAGTTCTGAGAATCTAGCATCCTCAACACTACTTTCTCTGCCTAATAGTTTGTGTCTAGCCTCAACATCGCTCATTCAGTCGCATTACGAATCATAATCAATGTTTCCAATATTTATACTTTATCGAATTTCACAACTTTGAGTGGTTGAGAACATAAACTTTCATAATCTGTTATCTAAATTTTTCTAATAGGGAGAATAAAAATAAATTTGTTACAATTTATCTATGTATAAATCTGAAATTGGCGTATGACCGAATCTGAACATAACTCTTACTGGACAAATAATTCTGTTAGTTGTGTATAAATATATGTTTCGAATTGCATTAAAATGTGGTATGCAATTGAAAAGAAAAACTTTGAACGCAGTAAATTTCTACTCTCTGTTTCTACTTAAATGGAGTCTGAAAACACTAGATTGTAATCACATTGTTTAATAACTAACAATAACTATAGGAATTATCATTCTTTTTATGTAGTCATTCACTTGTTCCTAGTTATACATAGTTTATTTATAGCCTATGTGATTTGTATATCACCTAGACAATCAAAAATACTGTGCCATATACTTTAAACTTAGACTATCATATCGAACGTTGATTAATAAATATGAAAATAAACTTATCACTTTATTAAGATCTCCGATTCGTCTTTGATACTAGATTTGGAATTTATCCAGTTTAATTATTATTATCACTATACTGAAATCTCCCTACCGTTGCTTCTACCTTTACATGGTGGTCGGGTTTGCCTATCGTAATAAAGCAATTGAGCTATACTGGCTGGAACAATCGTTCCTCAAGGTCCTACTATACCAGACAGGTCGGTTAAAGAGCGATAGGACTAAAAGCAACAAACCAAAGGTTCGAGGGCGAAGTCGTACTGCTAACTGTACAGAGGTGTGACAGCGGTTAGGTGTTTTCTTCAGACAATTAGAATAATAGGGATGCTGCCTTCCCACAAGCAGGGGTGGATTTAGAAAGGTTCGACCCTAAAAATGCACACCTCGCCTTATCCCACGAATATCCGTCTCCGGATTCTAGCGTAGTCATTCAATTGATTTAACCTCGACAAAACGGAGAGCCGACAAGATACACTCGTTTATCTAGCGATCTGATGGCTCTTTTTTGTAGACTGGCGGGTGGAGGCATTGCACTGTGTACGAGGGCAGAACAAGCACTATAAGGGTGGATCACCGTTAACAGTCACCTATGCGCAGTTCGGTTAAATGGCTCCGAAAGAACTCGGAAAAATTGGAACACAGATTGTCAACTTTTCATCGTCTCTGTGTTTGCTCCAATATGCTAATTCTTCAAAAAGCTAAACGCTGAGACAGTACCCGTAGCAGGTGACTATGTAGACTGAAAAGTTTTGTGGCACTGTCTGTCATTGAAAGAAGTACCTCAGAAGTGCATAAAATTTGTGAGGGCTCTTTACTCGATCATTAACAGTCTAGTCAGAGCTTATGGCGTGTCACGTATGCATGAACGCCGATTACCACGACTCTCAGAGTCGACCTCAGTGGCGCGCATGCATTCACATGCTACCTCTATAGATCAGTGTTTCCAATATTCCTCCATACATACCTTCCCATCAACTTTTCGAACCACATTCTTAATGTTTATTCTTTCTTATTATGGTTGCTGCTACATTATTTCGGTTTCTCTGACGTACATCTTGTTAATTTCATTTCGTCGACCTAACGTGATATGACAACTTAGACCAACTCCTGTTTGAGCCGGGCTCTATGTTGATGTCTATTTTTCTGAGTTCACCCTTATCAAGCAGCTTTCGTTGACATACATTTTTGTCTGTCTCTTTGTTGATTATTTCTAACTGGTTGTTTAAGCATCATATGTGCCAAGCTCTTTGTTCACTATGACTGACACGTATTAACGACGTCGAATTTCGGGCTACTGGTAAGATCTGAAAGTTTCTACAAGTTGTATATATTTATGTTAGAAACCCTTGAAACTATACCATATATATTGCAGGCCTCAGGGTATTTTACTGATTACATGATCATTCTATGACACCGCTTCATGAACAGAAAATAATTAACATGAGTTTCAATAATAATGTAAAAACCAAAACTCAACTGAAAACTTGTTACGAGACATTACTACAAAATACATCCACATAAGCATACGAGAAGCGATGGTTTTAGGTTTGTTTACAGTCAGTCAGTCATACTCAATGTAGGACCTGTCACATATGTGAATCGGTGTAAGTTGTCACACTACACTAGCATAGCGAAATGAAATTATCAAGATAAATCCCAGATTGTTAGAATGTTTAACAATACCAGTAATAATAGAAAGGATTAGGTAGACAACAAACGGAAAAGTTGTAGCCTTATTATAATATTGATTCGATAGCATGAAATGCCAAACAAAGCCAACTGCTTTGCATAGAAAATTCCTAAAAGTAGGTACACCAGTAAAACAAATGAATTTCAAGTACAGATTGTGATTAAAATCCACAATAATCTAATTATCTTTGCTTTCCGGTGGGTATAATAGTAGCATCTGACTGAATAGCATTCAAAAACAGATTACCTTTCTCGTAGAGCAAAGAGCCATTTGGGTTTTCTTTTTCAGATCGCAGGAAATAGATCAAGTCTTGTGGTTTAATTGTGTGCGAGAATTCAGCTTAAATAAGCAAAAACAAAGAGCTTTATGAAATCATAACTGGAACCAAACCACATTTATATAAATGTGGATCAAAACTAAGAGTAAAATTTCAGTGTTTTTATCTCTTCAGATACAAGTACCAAAAATAGGGACTAACTAAAATCATAGCTGCTGTCATTAATCAAAAATCCCTCGACATTTGATCAGCTATATTCACAATGGTTTTAAACTTAAGCCTTCGGTGAAGTGTTTAAAAGTAATATCTATCATGAATTTACGTGTCAGTAAACATGATAAATGAATTGCTTTTTATATATTTTTTTCTCTCTGCTCTCCTTAGAAAGCCATGGATAACTTTATTCTGTTTAAAGATCTAGTGGAATCCAACATAGATTTGGACTATGTTAACCAACGAAATGAGTTCATTATTCGTGCTGATAAAGATCCGTTGCTACAAGGTTAGTGTCACATGGATCACTGTTTTTGATTGTTCTTTATGGCTATTGTAAAACTGATTTCCTCAATCAAGAAATAGACCGTCTATTGAAAATGCATTTTCCTATCCCTCGCTTATATTTTCTATTACAGCTCAATATCTTTAGCTGTCACACTCAAAATAAAGCATATCTCAACGTCGGACAAACTATCTTGCGTATTAATTTTCTTCCAAAATTTTTAATAGTTCGATCCGCCTTGTAGATATTATTATTACTTCTTAAAGGTAATAAATTAGAAATTATTCTCTTTCGTTTCAAAAGCTCTTAATCATAAAAAATTTGCTTGGTTTTTTTGTACTTACTAATTATTCTACCTCTTATTCTAGTTTACATCTAGCATGACTTGTTTTGGCATTGCAAATCTACTATGCGTAAATCATTGTTTTTTTACCATATTATTATAGTTATAATTATGATAATGATAATAATAATAATAATTATTAATAATATCATTATTATTATTATTTCACATACATAATTAGAAATAAGGAATAAATTAGACAATTTGGAGGAAAGAATTCGGGATGAATTTAGACGTGTAAGTACCAATTTATAGTTATTTCTTGTATTTATTGTTACAATTATTGATATATATATATATATGCATACTTATTATTAAGGTATTTTTTTGTGAATAAATGTCAAACAGGACGATATTTTTTAAAACAGTGGATTGTTGTGTATGGCGGGCGGATATATATATATATATATATATATATATATATATATATATATATATATATATATATATATTACGTTAAGCTGTCTATCCGTACTCTAGTTCCAACTTTACATTTAATTAGTTCACACTTTGGAGTTTGTGTTTATGATTATCTACTCATTCTTCCTTTTTGAATCTCATTTCCTATGTCTCATTTTTTTATAATCACATTGATACTGCTACTTTGGTATTCACATTGATAATTTCACTTTGGTTTGCTAATTTCCTATGGAAATATGAATCGATGCACAATATTCATCAGGTTTTTACTTTGATTAAAACTGATTAACCTATTGACTGTTGCATACATATTCATCGATTATTCTATTCCTAGTTTAATGATTCCCATAGAGTATTCAAAACTGAACCTGAACGAATGGTTAGATTCCTAATTTTCACTGGGGGTTTCATTTCAAGCTCCAGCCTTTTCTCCACTTACCTTTTTTCAAAAATAACAGAACACACTGAACCTTTTTAATCGAAATAATTTTTCGATTGAAGGAGCCAGTTCTGGCTGTTAAGGTTCACATATATGTGTACATATGTTGTTTTTCTTCTGGAAAACACTTCTACATAAAGTAAGTCGTGATAATGTTGCCCAGAATGTCTAAAAAGCCATTGCAATTATACTGTCTATCTCATAAAGCTCAAAAACGATAAAAGTATTCACTTGAACTGAAAATCTCTACCATTCCAAATCTGCTGGGGTTTCAGCTCAGGATGTTTTCTTAAGTAAATATTGTCTGTGTTCAATATCGTTTTGTGGTTTTATGGTGCATCCCATCTAGATTAGGTTGTTGAATTGAATTATTCACCACAAAAATCTAGTTTTTTGACTGACATAGTTCTATCTCCTTTGCTTCTTTATAAGCAAGCAATTTTGCCTAAATGAAATCCAAAGCCGTAACAAAATCTATCGCATGTAATTCAATTGAGTATTTTGCTTTACATATATAATCTATATTACCTTTTTTAGTTATCTTGAAGACGTATTTTTGTGTTGGGTTAATGAAATCTCTTCATGAATATAAAAGAGGTCGCTCGACTTGTACTACCTGTGCTACATACAAGACGGGTTATCTATCTATCAGAGGACGAGGATATTGCTCAGCAACTCCTTGCCCTAGTTTTTTATTTTAAAATATGTCTACTCTAGGTAGAAAACATGTACATAGGTTCGATCTAATTAATCACAGGTGTTTTCAAATCAGTACGGTCTGTTGTTTCAATCAGGTTGTATCGCGAGCCGTCACACAAATAAGGTATAGCTCAAAAGTAATTCAGTATATTTATACTTAGTAACTCAGTCAATCCTTCTTGCCTATAGCGTGTTAATTTTGACCAATATTACTATAGGCATTTGACTTTATGATTATGATCTCACCTATTGATTTTAAGGCTCTTGTTATCAGGTAGAATTGTAGGCCGAATTGTGTACTTAAAACAACTTTTTCAATCATAGTATTTACGATAAAATTTATTTCTTATGACTCGTTTTTATCGAGCTAAAAATCAATAATCTTGGGGGAGATTTCATCCTAATAACTCATGTTTTTCTGAGAAACGTTGACTACAAGATATTTCCTGTCATTTCTTCTAAGATCAAAACTCATTCTATTTCTTTATGTGAGTCTGCAATAATCAATACAGGGACTACTAGTTTAAGTTATGATACCTATTATCGCTTATTCATTATTCATATAATCAGTGTTTGTCCCATTAGAGGATGATAATTTAATGGTATTTTCATGAATAATATATCGGTCGGTCGACTTAACAATCACTATTAAATGAAGTGGTTTAATATTTGACTTATTTTTAATCTGTAAAGTTTTATTTAAAGCTCTTACCGTTATTATTATTACCATCATTATTATTACTATTGTTATTACGGCTATTAATACCACTATCATTATTACTATTATCATTATTAATATTATTATGACCATTATTATCATCATCATTATTGTTATTATTATTATTATTATTATTATTATTATTATTGCTATTATTATTACCGCAATTATTACTGCTACTATTATTATTGTTATCATTAGTACTACTACTATTATCATTATTATTGCTATTATTATTAATGTCTCCAAATCCCCGTACTAATAATAATTAGTTTGTTGCTGTTAAGCTGTCGTAAACATGTTTTTTTTCTACTTATTAACATCTAAAATACCGTCCCTACTAGGTTACTTACCTACTTACACCTGTTACTCCTCGTGAAGGAGCATAGGCCGCTCACCAGCATTCTTCATCCAACCCCTGGCCTGAGCAATTCTTTTCATATCAGATTCCATTTCCCAACGTAATGTGTTCTTTGGCCTTCCTCTTTTCTCCGCTTAATCTCAGGATTCCAAGTCAGGGCTTGCCTCGTGATGCAGTTTGATGATTCGCGTAACATATGTCCTATCCATTTCCATCGTCTTTTCTGAATTTCCTCTTCAGCTGGAAGCTGGTTTGTTCTCTCCCACAGTAGTAGGTTGTTTCTGATGGTATCCGGCCAATGGACATTGAGTATCTTTCGTAGACATGTATTTATAAATATTTGTACCTTCTTGATGATGGTTGTAGTAGTTCTCCAAGTTTCAGCTCCATACAGTAGAACTGCCTTGACGTTCGTATTGAAGATCCTGACTTTGATATTGATTGACAGTTGTTTTGAGTTTCGTATGTTCTTCAACTATAGGAATGCGACCCTTGCTTTGCCAATCCTCGCCTTTACGTCTGCATCTGATCCTCCTTGCTCATCGATGATGCTTTCCAAGTATGTGAAGGATTCTACATCTTCCAGAGTTTCTCCATCAAGAGTGATTGGATTGCTGTTCCCTGTTTTGAATTCGAGGACCTTGGTTTTCCCCTTGTGTATGTTGAGGCTTACTGATGGAGAGACTGCTGCTACACTGGCTGTCTTTATCTGCATTTGTCCGTGTGCATGGGATAGGAGAGCTAGGTCATCTGCGAAGTCCAAATCGTCTAATTGGTTCTGAGTTGTCCATTGTATGCCGTGTTTTCCCTCAGATGTCGTGGTCTTCATAATCCGGTCGACCACCAGAAGAGAGAGGAACGGAGAGAGTAGACAACCTTGTCTAACTCCGGTCCTTACTTCGAATGCATCTGTCAGCTGTCCTCCATGCACGACGTTGCACTGAAGTCCGTCGTATGAGTTCCGAATCATGTTGACAATCTTCTCAGGAACTCCTTAATGTCAGAGAAGTTTCCATAATGTTCTCCTATCTACACTGTCAAACACTTCTTCATAACTAATGAAGTTGATGAACAGTGACGAGTTCCACTCAACTGATTGTTCTACGATGATCCGTAGTGTCTCAATTTGGTCTGTGCACGACCGATCTTTACGGAATCCAGCCTGTTGATCTCGAAGTTAGGTGTCTACTGCGTCTTTCATCCGGGTTCTTACTAGGTAGTCGATATTATTTTAAATGACTACGGAAGATTGTTGACTGTACCTATGTGTTTCGTTTAAACATCTCACTGTTCTCTGCGAATAAGATCATTCGATTCAATATTTATGCTGTTATCAAATTGGCTACAGGATAAAACTATACGGAATTTAATTGGTTGGTATGTGTATACGAATTCATGTATTATACTATGTTTGAAGAGATCACGAGTTCAACTATTTTGGGAAGGGAACGAAGACTGTGATACAATGACAGGTAAGTTACCGATTCCTTCGCGTCTCAGCCCCACTAACTCGAGAGAGATGTCCAGATTCGAAAGAGAGATATATATTCAACTAGCAGCCAGAAGCACGAACAACCACAACGAGTCTAGTTGGAAATGCACTCACTTATACATTGGTTTATACACCCATTTTGATTAATAATTAGAATTAGAATAAAATCACATACATCAAAATTAAAACACGATGATAAATACTTAGTTATAACAAATATACTGAGTTCATGTTAACTTAATACAAGGATATCGTATGTTATATAGAATAAAATGTCATACGGGAAAGCAAAACAAATACTATACTGAGTAATCATCACATTGAATTAAAACAGAATTAATGTTGAACAAAAATCTAGTTGTATTAGGTCTAGGTTGGAAGAAAACCAGGGGAGCCAAACCAACATATTACATCAGTTCATGAAGTCATTGATTATTCGTCTGAGTCATGTTGGTATGGTAGATGCAAACTACCTAGTTGGTGTCAGTTTGGTTAATTTAATTAATGGTTGTAGACGAGGGATGACGTAACTCAGAATCAACTATATCAATGCAGATGTATTTACTCATTTTCTTCCGTCACCTGTCGAGTTATAAAACTGTATAATTTTTACTGCTGAAATTCATCCATTCTTATCAAATTACATCGTCTGTAGTTAGCGTTTTCTACTACCATCGATGCTATTTCCATTCCTTCGACTACATTCATATCAATCTTGATAATTTCAGCAGACTAGGATTATTTATGCTGCATGGTAAATTAAACCAATGTACACTATGTATTCCAGGTTCTAACTGATTAGATTTCATCTTTTTTTTTTACAATATTTTGTCTTGATTTTTCTAGAACCACATCGTATACATAAATGTTGTTTTCTAATCGATACCATCTAAAAGAATGTAATTCCTTTACATACAGCTTAGAATTTTCTTAAGTCATGGATAACATCCAAAACATGCTAGAAAACTGTGTTGAGTGAAATACAGCTAATGCAGTCTATTTTCGATCATAAGAAAGCAGAAATTTGCTATTTTCTATTCCGTTAAGTCATTTTAGAGGGGATATTGTGATTAAGATGGAGATTTGTAGCTCAGGTGGATTATTTAGGTGGAGTTTTTTCTATGAGCTCGATGGTTTGGTCGTGGATCTTTCATTGTTCAACAACAACACTTCATGTCTACCCTAAGTTTGTACTGGTGATGTTGTTTGGAAGAACAATGAAGCTCCATGAGCACACCATCCAGCTTAGAGTATATTGTTATTTTCAATCTTCTCATTTCATTCTTTTGCTTGTAATAACTTATTTCAATATATATTATCGATGTTCTCGTTTATTTCTCTTTCCGTATGTTCTAGAAATTAAGACAATAAAAAAACACTAAAGTATTATTATTATTATTATTATTATTATTATTATTATTATTATTAGTAGTAGTAGTAGTAGTAGTAGTAGTAGTAGTTAGTAGGTTTTTATTTTTCCGAATGGTATCTTGAATCCCTAATACTTCATATTACTGTTACAATCTTCACTACTCTGGGATTTGCACTAATAATCTCAACTAGCTGTGCTAATGTGGTATAGCAGCTTGAACATGTACCAGTTTTTACGTTGCGTTTGACTGACTAAATGACCAAGGTAGAAATTTTCTTACCCAGTTGTGGCGATTAAGTTCTAATGTACCACTGGTCTAGACGACTTACAATATGTATATTAAACAAGCATGACACTGTTTACTATCTCAGTCGTACGGGTGGTCAGTCGCGGCTGGAATAGCTCAGTAGTCCAGACGTTTAGAACGATGGGCGGAACATAATAAGAGGGACACGCATATGTATAGTTTGGTTATTTAACTATTATACGGCAAAAATACACGCATAGTATTGGTCCATAAATGGATCCCAAAAGTTACCATTCATTATGCTTATCGGGACATAACATTATTGCTGAACCAAATAAAAGATTCAGTGGGTACGGCTTTAAGATCAACAAGCTGGATTCCATTACGACTAATCATATACTGACCTAATCGCGACACTGCAGATCAATGTTAAACAACCAGTCGAATAGAACTCATAACCGCACATCAACTCCCTTGATTATGAGATAGCATTTGACAGTGAATAGGAAAACCTTATAGAATGTCTTTCGACACTATGATGTACCTGAAAAGATCGTCACCATGATACAAATATCTTACGAGTCATGGATGGAGGACAGATCACTGATACCTTGAGTGAGGATCGGTGTTATACAGGGTTCCCTACATTCACTCTCTCTTCCTTCTGGTTGCTGATCGGATTATGAAGACCCCACCACCTCAGGAAAAGCACGGAATACAGTGAGAACCTTGGAGACAACTGAATAATTTGAACTTTGAAGATGACTTAGCCTTTCTGTTCTATACACAATAACAAATGTACACAAAGACTGACAGTATATTAATCGCTTCCGCTGTGGAAACAGCAGTGACATCTATCAGTGATTTAAACCACAGGGTTACAAAGAACCAATGGATTTCTTCAAGGTTTATTGCACTGATGAATTCTCGTAAACTCATCCCATCAGGCTCTGAACACGATGAAGAGCGACAACAAATCAGATCTAGGTTAACCAAAAGTCTAAGGAACGATCGTGAGCAGTGGTGGGCAACGAAAGCAAAAGAGATGGAAAAGGCGGCGGCTATAGGGAACACAAGACAGCTTTACAGACTAATAAAAGAAACTGGAATTATTAAGTCAAGTGTAAGTCAGACTATTTCGGAAAAAGACGACACCCTCATCTGCTCCCAGTCCAGACGTTTAGAACGATAGGCAGAACGTTTCAGAGGACAGTTCAGCTGGCCTTCAGCTACTCTACAACTACCCTCCATTCCCAGACAGTGTGAATGGAACATTGAAGTAGGTCCCCCAACTCTAGCAGAAGTTCAGAAGGCTATACTTAATCTGAAACGAGAAAGGGCAGCTGCTCCAGATGGATTGGCTCCAGAGGTCTTTAAGGATGGTGGTCCAATTTTAGCGACTAGGTTGACTAATATTTTAGCTAAGATCTGGGAGTTAGACGTTATTCCATCTGACTGGTCACAATCACTTATCGTCCCAATATATAAGAGAGGGTTAAAATCATCTTGTGACAACCATAGAAGGATTGGTTTAACTAATATAGTATCTACAATACTAGCCTCGATAATTATCAGACGCCTAACTAAGACTCGTGGACTGCAAACACGAGAGAATCAAGCTGGCTTCAGACCTGGTTGGTCGTGGCTGCATCGACCACATATTCACCATTCGTCAGGTTCTAGAACATAGGCATACTTATCAGCGGCCGACAATGGTGGTCTTTCTTGACTTAAAAGCAGCATTTGACTCGGTAGACCGCGAGATTCTGTGGCAGTGTCTGTCATTGAAATGCGTACCTCAGAAGTACATAAACCTTGTGAAGGCTCTTTATTCGAACGCTACCAGTCGAGTGAGAGCTTATGGCGAACTGTCATCTGCTTTTGCAACCTCAAGTGGTGTCCGTCAAGGCTCTCAACTTTCTCCATTTTTGTTTAACTTCATCATAGACCTATTGATGGAAATAACATTCTCGTCTACTGAATTCTCGGGTATTGATCTCCTACCAGGAGGTCCACTTATCGACTTGGAATACTCAGATGATATAGTCCTGTTTGGTGAAGACGCTGATAAAATGCAGAGTCTTCTGGTAGCACTAAGCAACAATGCCAGAATGTTTGGAATGCGCTTCTCTCCCTCTAAATGCGAGTTGTTGCTTCAGGACTGGTCTGCGTCAACATCTGAACTAAGGATAGGGAATGAAGTAGTCGCACGCGTTGACAACTTCACTTATCTTGGACGTCTCATCAGCCTCAATGGGTTGGTGTCTGACGAAATCTCAGCACAGATTCGAAAAGCTCGTTTGGCTTTTGCCAACTTACGTCACCTATGGCGAAGGCGAGATATCTGTCTATCGATAAAAGGACGAGTATACTGCACGGCAGTGAGTTCTGTTTTAATTTACGGCAGCGAAACATGGCCATTAAGAGTAGAAGACACTCGTAAGCTATTAGTATTTGACCACAGATACCTTAGAAATATTGCTGGCATCTGCTGGGATCACCGGGTAAGTAATAGTGAGGTTAGACGCAGGGTATTAGGGAATGATGGTAAATCAGTTGATGAGGTTGTGAATCTTCATCGACTGAGATGGTTGGGCCACGTGTTACGTATGCCCGAACACCGATTACCACGACGTGCAATGCTATCCGGTATTGAAGATGGTTGGAAGAAAGTTAGGGGCGGCCAAACCAAAACGTGGCATCAGTGCTTGAAGTCACTAACTTCTAGTCTGAGCCATGTTGGTAGATGCAGACTACTTGGTTGGGGTCCGCGTGACTATCGTAACCAATGGTTGGAGACTCTTGGTGACATAGCTAAGAATCGATCACAATGGCGTCGGTGTATACACTCTCTGTCTTCCCTTAAACTAAGAGATTAAAATCGCTTCATATCTTTCTTTCTACGAACTAATTCTTTCTTCCTGTACTATATCCTTATTGCAATCTTTCTTTTATATATTACCACCTCTGAATTAACTACTTTTATGAATCCGGTGTCCATCTTGTTGTGTTAATGGGGTATGGCAACTCGGACCGATGCATATATGTGCCTGGTCCTACGTTGTAGCTGACTGACTGACTTATGCCTTTGAGTTACGTTTCTCTACCCTAAGCTGTACCAGGGTATTTTGGGGCAATGACGAAATAACAAAGGATGTCCTTGGGGCGCGCTGGTTAGGCAGACCACCCACTGAAGCATGCGTAATTTAATGTAACGATGTAACCACCTCCATTACCCGACAAATGGTGCTATTTGACAGTTGTACCTGTAATCTTGAGAGAACTGGTGCATGTAACGGACTGGACAAGGCGTCATTCAGCATTAAAATCACAAACGTTACCACTGAATAATTCTGGCTGCGACTGACTTTCTGTAGGACGAAGGTAGATTTACAATCAGTTTATCACTAAGCAGTGACCATCAAGATGTATATCAATTCCTTTGTGTTGATCTGATTCTAACGATGAAGTCGAGAGTTCCTGTCAACTACCTTTATTCAACACCATATATCAGCCTAGTGCACGTTACATCGGTCACTACTCAATGATCAGTCAGTTATAAAGAATGTTATGTACTTTCACTCATTTTCAATCGCAAACAGTGCAACAATAATTATAAAAATCAGAAACCTTGAAGAAATCTGAATGTCCGATTGATTGTTGCAAATATAAGCCATACTTAAACCAAACAGAAACTACTTACAGGAGATATATCCTTGTTTTTTTCCACATTTGCAATTGATTTAATATCTCTATTTCATGATTTTCACCAGTTGTATGTAAATCAGTTACTATTTGTCTCATTATTGTCACCACAAGACCCCTTCTGATAAGTATGTTTAACAATTTCCTTTACAGTGTGCAAAAAAGCTGAACTTGGAACAGAATAAATCTATCAAGTTGGAAAGCAATGAGCTACATGGATATTTTATGCGTGTCACACTCAAGGTAAATCAGTGCATACATATGCGAAGTAGTGTTCGTGCAGTTCTCCTTTCGCCGCACACACGCATTTTCATATTGTTTTATTTCCTATGTGAATAGTTAGTTTTTAATTATCATGTCTAAACGTTTTGTACCGTTACTCCTCTCGCTTAAATTTAGACAATTGAATTTTATATCTCGAGACTAGTGCATAGATTTGTGGTTATTCATTGATTATATGCAGTAAATTTTGTATACATTCTCCTGTTTTTGACGGACTTTCAACAAGTGTTTAGATTCATTTCATTATAATCGTTAAGCTTTTCGTTTAAATAAGTTTTTTTAATATTGAAAGTAATATAAAATGATTTTATCCTTTTTGCCTAATGATGACTGCAACTCTTACTATGGCATAACACAGTTGAATTATGACAGTATTCATCAAATTGTTGAAATGCTTTGTCTTTCGATTTAATTTTCTCCATTATTGAAATGCTCTTATTTAAATAGTGAAATGAATTATAAGTGTAATCTGTCCTCTTCACCATCCTTAACTTATTTAAAATGCGTAAATACTGGTACAACTAGACACTGAAATACATATACGCCACAAAAAAGGGAGGTAGGAGAGTGGGTAAATCAATTGTATGATAATGGATATTGGTCCTGCACTAATAAGGACTAGACAAGCATGACATTGATCACCACCCAGTGATCAATCAATTGTGATTACATCTCAGTCCTACAGGAGGTCAGTCGCGGCTCGGATAGCTCAGTGGTAACGTCTCTGACTGTGAAGCTGGTTGACACGAGATCGAATCCGCCAGGGAGCACCAGTTCCCTCAAGATTACAGGTACACCTTGCTGACGAGTGCCAAGTAGCACGAAACCCGGGTCCAGGGTTTCCTGTTGACTACCTCCAACCACCATCTAGATCTCAATACATAGTGCCCGCAGTGTCGAGTCACCTAGACTGGTGGCCACATTGCAACATGATCGATAGCATTCGATCTGCACTAATAAGGACTAGATAAGCATGACATTGATCACCACCCAGTGATTAATCAATTGTGAATGTAAAAAAATTACATCAGGATTGGTACAAATATGATGATCTTTTCTGAACCATGTCTAATAACATTTGAAGCCACTGAGTTGTGTGCACTTTCCGTAGGATGTCAACCAGGAAGCGAGGATGGACCAATATTTGCCTGTCTTATACAGCTATATTTTATACTAAAGCTTGTTAAAATATGTCTTTTCTACTTTATTTTAGCGTCAGGAATTATTATATAATATGAAGGTGAGAAGGATGACACTCATAAGACATCTCAAGTCACCTCAACTGTGATCAATCTATGACAAACGGAAAAGGATCTTCACTAAATCTCTTCATCTGAAAAACAGATTATTGAAATTCACCATAGGTTTATTGTGTATTCTACATCTATGTGTCGTTTATTACATAAGATTCTGTTGTCGGTACTCTGATTTGAATAACTCATATATAATGCATTTTGTCATCCACTCAACTCCAATTCCCACAACCCGTAAAGAAATATCCTGATATTTACCCTGAAAGAACTATGTGTTTTTTTTTTAAAGATTATGTATTGATTCGTGCAGAATGTCATGTCTCATTAATGTTTATCCATTTTCATTTTTGTTCACTCCTTTGTATTTTCTGTTTTCTTTTTCTTTCTCCAACTGTAACAACAAATAATCATGACAATAAAAGGATGAGAAATGTTTAAGAGGATTTGAAACATTTGAAATTTTGGACACACAAAAAGGTGGTGTACGTTTTCGTAATAACCAAATGACTTCATTAAATGAAACTTATGCTGAAGTGAAACAAGAATATAATGGATTACAAGAAGTGGTTGTACATCAAGTTGTTTGTGCCGCAGGTAACTACTTTTTTACGACTACTTGTCATGTGTCTTAAGACTTTCTTAAATATCACCTGTTAAATTCACTATTGGAAACTCCGAATATTTTTCTCTTTATCTAGTCCCTAATATTTCATATATAGCTTAAATTCATAGACTTGGACAGTTACATTTCTGATCCGCACAGTTAGCCTTGAACCCATTTAAGGTTAACCCCTAATGGTTCGCTATCCGTAAGGTTGTCTCTATTTTTTGCCTTGAGTCCAAAACGAAGTCAAAAGTCAGCCTCTCTCACATTATATTTTAAGCACTCCTGAGTTTATTTACAAACATACCTGACCACATCACATCACCCAAAATGTCTGTGAGTGGGGAAAGCCGCACACGATTTATTGGGAATAACTGAAGGTTAATAATTAGTATGGTAATAGTTAACGGGTAAATAGGAGCTAAAGATAAACTCAGTATATGAATATAGTAATCCAGCTATTCGTTAATTAGACAATAAGAATATTAGTAATAATTCAGAAATTAGTTCTGGAACTAAACATTTCTTCAATCTTTGTTCCAATACATCGCTATTAGTAATATATATATATATATATATATATATATATATATATATATATATATATATATGTTGATTTCAATATCACACCACTCCATTCTGCACTTAAAATAATTACACACAGTATTATCATCACGGATTAAAAATTGTAGATTGGACACAATTTTCGTAACCCTTCTAACTTTTCTGCTTCTTTCCAGCATTACATCATTTTTTAGATTATTCTCATACCCAATGTTATCTCGAATAAATAAATCATTTGAGGCCGTTAACTCTGTTAATATATCAGTTTATAGTAATAATAAATATTATTTCCTACACTTTGATTCTACGTTAAGCCATAATAATTCATGAAGTAATTTACTGAATTATTTCTGTTGCTTCATAGCTATTCAGTTTGATTTTATTCTTTCGAAAGTTTTGTCACATATTGATTAGATAATAGTTTTTAGAGGTGTTTTGTTGTCCGAGCTGGTTGATCTAATCGGGAATTTCTTTTCTACACAATGTCATCGATACATGCCGTAAAAACAAATAAGCTGTCCCGATTTATAGCTACGAGTTCTGTCAGTCAGTCGAACTCAACGTAAAATGTGGCATGTATTTACATCGATTCTACTTCCCACTCCTCACCAACAGAACGAAATGAAATTCTCAGGATATATCACAGAGTAGCAGAAGTAGTAAAAGTAATAATGGTAATATCAAAGATTAAACACGCAGTTACAATTTGAGAAAAAATTATAAACTATTGAAATATATAAAGAGGAATTTTTAAAGAGTGAATACGCTGCGCCATTGTGAACTATTTCTAGCTATGCCATTCAAAATCTGTAAACATTGGTTAGTATAATCAAGTGGATTCCAACCAGATAGTGCGTATGTGCCTGAATAGCTCAGTCGAGTAGTAATTGTCTTCACGGACTGACGTCACGTCTTGATTTGGCCAAACCAGCTTTCTTCCAACCTACTTCTACATCAACCATTATCCGACGTCAAGGCAGTCACTCAAGGGAAAAAATTAAATGAAACCTGTAAATAGAGATCACACAATAATGTGCAGCAACCAATTGAATTCCAGGTAAACAGATTAAGTTGTTTGTCAGTTGTTGAGAAATTCTAATATCTGACTTCTGAATTATGTTGTTCTCTATAAAGATCATGAGGACTTTATCACTAAACCATCGGATTTTGAAAACAAAACCGTTTTAAAATGCGCACAACGGCATGAAAACAACAGTTGGTCGAGACAAACTATCAAAATAGATATTTCTATTGAAACATGTTTGTACAAAAAACACCGTCTTCTACTTTCGGCATTAAAATTCAACCAGGAAACCAAATAACTACGTTCACAACAGAAAACAAATAACTCTGGACTTGAATACTTGAGATTGTTAAATTCTGAACCATTTCTTACTTTGAGAGTTTACAATTAAATAGTTCCTTTCTATTTACATAATGTGTATTGGGTTGAGCTGGGCTTTTTTAACCTAATAACTAATTATTATTGAGTTGTATCATATTGAGCACATATTCTAAAGGTTTTATTCTTTTGCAAATTTGTGTTGATTACAATTTTGCCTGAAAAGACAATAAAAAATACTATGATTAGATCATCCCTGTTCAATGAACACTACATCTCCCAAATTACAGAAATTCTTTATCATTGTAATAATTTCATTATTATATTCAAATTATCAGCTTCGCCGTACATATTTCATCTAATGTATGTGTTATTTTCTTTTTTATTAAATGTATATAGCTACTTATTTAGAGCCTATTAATCAATTGAATGCAACCACTGCGTTCTTAGATGTTATTGTTAGCCTTTCTATCGCAGCTATCTCGTCTTCAGGCGTATCGTATATTCGTCCGAAAATTCTCTCTAAAGATAATGGTCATATTATTTTAAAAGGAGCACGTCATCCATGTTTGGAAATGCAAGATCGAGTCAGTGTTATTCCAAATGATGTACATCTTGAACGTGGTAAATTGCGTTTCGAATAAGTTTTTGTTTCTACATATTCTGAATTTTTTATTACAGATCAACCATTTTAATAATTAGCCGGACGTTCTTACATTTAAATTCTATTTTTTCCCTTATATATAGTATATGTACATATATTGACCAAATGTGATTTGTTTTCGACCTTTCTTTCAATTCTAGCAAATACTTTCCACCTCATAACGCACACAATTGTTGTTTTCTCCAATTTATTCATTGAAATTTTATAGGTAAACAAATATTCCTAATTATTACTGGTCCGAATATGGGTGGCAAGTCAACTTTTATACATAGTGTAAGTTATAAAAAGAAAAGACCAAATAACAATTTCGTATTTTCCATTCTATGGTAGAATAAAGCTTGTGTGTATATGTGTCCGCGAGAGAGAGACTGACGAGAACACATGACATGCTCATCATTATCGTTATCAAAACTTAGGGGAGCTCATAGTATGTGTATATATATGTTTATTTGTAGATAACTTGATAGTCCATCTGGTACAGTGAAGATTGGACTCGTCATGTCATTTGATATTAACTTAATTTTTCTTGTTATGTTTACTTATGTCTGTTGGAGTGTAGCATGTCATTTTGCTTTTTTAAACCCTACAGTATTTTTAACTGGGAGTTTAATGGTAATTATATTATGGTTCATTGTGTAAACTTCTCTCGAACACTAATTGTCACAGCTTATAAGAAAGGACAAAAGTCCTCTTGTGACTGTCACAAAGGAATTATTTGACTAATATACCATCTAAAATATTAGCTCCATTAATAATCCGATTACTTACTAGGGCTCGTGAAAAGCACAACTCGACTGGTTTTAGACCTATATGTTGTTGTATAAACCAAACATTTGCTCTTTGTCAGGTTCTAGATCATAGATATAACTACCGACGTCTGGCTATAGTTGTGTTCCTTGGCCGTAATGCAGCGTTACGCTCTGTTGGTTGGCAAGTCGGTTGATGAGGTAGTGAATCTTTATCGACTAAAGTGGTTATGACTTCCAATCTGTGAAATCATTGACAATTGAACAGCCATTTTAATAAGTGTAGATTGCCTATGTTATGGCCTGTGCGACCAATTGTTTGAGACTTTGGATGATATTGCTCAAAATCGATCGCAATGATATAGATGAATTCTTGTCTTTCTTTAGAACCGGTGCCCTTGTTATAACTTGTGCCCTGTGTCCTATTAATGTATAATGTAATGATACCGCCAATGATTTATCGACCAGACCAACGAGACATAAAACCCGTACGAGTAGTCTAAAGTCCTTATTGGTCCTGCTTCCTGCCTAGCCCTGCCTGTTAAGTCCAGAACACCAATCTCAGCCTCCGCTATATGAATCGTGTATTTCAAACATACTCGGTTTATATACAAACGAGACAGACAATATCGTACCATAAAGTAGGAAACAACATTTGTACAAGATTTAGCTGTGAATGTGGAATAGACTGGGTATAACTCAAGAATAGTAAATCGTATAATAATAGTCTCATCATGTATACACAACCGGAGTCCCGTACTAGTATGAGACGGATATTCAGTGTCTTTTAGTTTTCAATGATTGTTTGACTGTGATCAATCTGCAATGTAAAGTAATACAAACAAAACAATAATAATGGTAATTCTCAATAACCTACCTACTTGCCCCTCGCCGAATGTCAATTAATTTTCAGGTTGCCGTTATTGTTGCTATGGCCCAAATTGGCAGCTTTGTTCCGTGTTCATACGCAGAAATTATGCCAGTCGATGCTATCATGGCACGTGTTGGTGCGGCTGATTATCAATGTCGTGGTGTTTCTACATTTTTAGCAGAAATGCTTGAAACTTCAGCTGTTTTACGAGTTAGTATATTTATTTTTACATATACTATGTATGCACATATCAACGCTTTAAAAATACAGTTCATCGATATCCAACCTCTCAGTTGTTCAGTTCAATAATTATAGATGATAGAGAGATAATGTTCAAATCAGGTGGATCCTTCTAGTGTTGTTGAGTTCTTCAAACTAAATAATTTAATTGTGGATTTTCAATTATTTTCCTCGATAACACTATCAGTTAGTTGTTGCAAAAGCGTTAAATCAATCCGCTCTAGCGCCTTTGTTTTTGAGTGTTTATGTTCGCTAACTCTATTTGTTGTTATCTTCGATTTTTAACTGAAGGAATATATTATATCTTGAACACCTCTGACCAAAATCACGTGACAAATTACTATTCAGAACCCTGATTCTAATTTGGTCCGTTTTGCGTCAACTACTTACTCGATAACTTGTCTCTGGCTTGGTCAATTACACATCCGATCAACACTATTAACCTTGAGTCAATAGCTAAGTTCCTATTAGTTCACTATTCGCTAGCTCCTCAATATGTCGTGCCCTTCAGTTCAAGTCATCGACAAGCCTCCACCATATGTTTCGAACAGATGTAGATTATATATAGACATACCACGTTATAAAATGAAAAGTGACAATTATATATGAATAAGCCAATTGTAGCTATGATTAGGGAAGACTATGAGTAATAGATAATAGAAATATTAACAATAAATCATGTGATAATATTCTGTGGGTTAATCGGAATTTTATAATAAATGGAATATATAGACATAGTAACCTAGTTACGTAACACCTATGTAATAAGACTACATGTAGTAATAACAGTTTATAAATTTTTTCTATGAGTTACCATTCCTTCAATCCTGGTTCTGATATAACAGAATTATAAAAATAGCAGCCGTTGCGGACACCACTTCATCATCTCATATGTGTTTAATGTACTGTAATAATTCAGTCCTTGCAAATTTCGATTAATGTAAATAAATGACAATGACTTAGTTAATATATTTGTAATATTCCAATGAGTAGAAAAATTAGATTTTGTGACTCAGTGTAAGCCACTTCTTCAGAGAATAAATAACCAAATCAAAATTAATCCATGTTTAGATAATACAAAGGAACAACACAAGAATATCATGTGCGAGATCTTGACTCAAACCAAAGAATATATTATGTACAAAAAGAAACCACATAGTAATCCCGTCGATCTGGATAAACTTCAAGTTACATCGGCAATAGCTGTTCACACCATTTTCAACAACAATCAAATCGATTTCAAAAACATCAAAATATTACAAAAAGGTTTTTCCAACTACAAAGAAAGGAGGAAGATCTCACTATACATCCGACTTGGACTATCTATTCCAGCTACCATGTCTGATATTACTCACATTTCACACTATTATCGTACATACAAACTAAGCTCCATCCTCTCGCACCACAAAGGTCACAATTTTTCATCCCTGACCTTGCATACGTACACACACGCACAAATTTACATAAATGTCGCTTTTAAATCACCTTGATTGAAATGACATGACATTGACTTGTTCAGACCTGTTTTTTGATTGGTCGCGTATAATATTCTTGCGTTGTTCCTTTGTATTATACAAACTTGGATTAAATTGGATTTGGTTATTTATTCCCTGAAGAAGTGGCTTACACTGAGTCACGAAACGTCGGAAAATCTAATTTTTCTATTCGTTAGGATATTGCAAATATATTAATTTTTCATGACAATCTACCCAATGCTCAATTTTTTCGAAATTATCAAGTCAAACCTTGGTGATGATACCATCAATGGTAGATTTCGTTTTTCACTAAACCTACATTTTTTTATTGTCTATACATCAATTAATTAATTATTTGGATTGTCATCGTATTTTTCAATGAGAAGGGATGTTAATCGGACGGAGGAATTTTAATGTTTTCTGTGTAATTGTCGAATCACAACGAATAAAAATCGCATATTATTATTATTATTATTATTATTAAAAACTTACTGCCGACTACGTGCAAACACAACAACAAAGTAAAATTATTTAATATACGATAAGTCATCTTATCACCAACTACTACCCTATCACGCTCAATTCTTGTCTGTAACTAACAACCTACACTGAATGTAATTTTTCCTAACTAACACTTATTACTAACATTTTTAATGAAAACTGACATTTAAGACAAAAGAAAGACACTTGTTGAATTAGCTAGCAATGTCAATATATTTTCCAAGTTATAATAAATAATTCATAGATAAATTAGTAAATGAAATGAGTAGCACGTGGTATACACATGTAATAGCTGACTGAACTGTTTTCATGGACAAATGAGCTGCTTTTCACTGGCTACATACTACATATTATCATTAGCAGGAGAATAATGTGACACAATTCATTTCCTACAAACACTATGGAAAGAAAATAGGGAGATTGTAGAATTTTCATAGATCTACATCACGAACTGACCTTAGCTAGATGGACCTGTAAGCACCTTCGGTCTCGTGCAGAAACGCCTAACTCCCTAGACCACTGGGTCGGCATCCAATAGTGTTAATAGCTAACTTCAGTCAGTTGGAGATATTAAACAGCCCTCATCTATTGTCTCCCGTCGACAACTGTCTTGCACCCGACATGGTCAGCTGGAGATCCTGGGTTCGACTCCTCGATGCGGGACCGTGAATTCGCACTACTGAGGAGTCTCATACCACGTCCAAATGTCATTTCTCTGCCGTGGTGGTATAAATGAAATCAGTTCGTGATATAAAACTGAAGATATTTGTGACATTTGTTAGAAATTCTTTCATTTGATAAGTTTTATGAAAAATACCATGTTCAGTTTCTTTGGATAAAATTGTTTCTTTCTTCTCAAACTGTGTATTTGTGTCACGTGAGGCTGTTACATGGTACTGTGATTACTTCGGTTTCCCACGATCTCTAGTCAACCTGAATGGCAAGTTAATGTAGGTCCTCCGTCCCTTTACGAAGTTGAAAAAGCCATAGGAAATCTGAAACGAGGGAGAGCAGCAGGCCCTGACAGGTTTACTCCTCAGATTTTTAAGGATGGTGGTCCAGTATTAGCAATGAGATTAACCGAGGTCTTAGGTAGAATTTGGGAACTGGACGTAATCCCATCTGACTGGTCTCTATCACTGATTGTGCCAGTCTATAAGAAAGGACAAAAGTCCTCTTGTGACAATCACAGAGGAATCAGTTTGACTAATATAGTGTCTAAAATATTAGCTTCAATAATACTTCGACGCCTTACTAAAGCTCGTGAAGAGCAAACTAGAGAAAACCAGGCCGGTTTTCGACCTGGACGTGGTTGTATAGATCAGATATTCACACTACGTCAGGTCCTAGAACATAGACACACATTCAGACGCCCCACAATGGTAGTATTTCTCGACCTTAAGGCGGCATTCGACTCTGTTGATCGTGAGGTTCTATGGCAGTGTTTGTCACTGAAAGGAGTACCAAAGAAGTACATTAACCTTATAAAGGCTCTCTACTCGAACACAACTGGTCGAGTGAGAGCTTATGGCGAACTGTCATCAGAATTGATTACTTCAAGTGGTGTTCGTCAGGGCTGTCCACTCTCCCCATTCTTGTTCAACTTTGTGGTCGACGTACTTTTAGAGATAACACTCTCCTCATCTAAATTTCCAGGGGTTGAACTTTTACCGGGAGGTTCACTTGTTGACTTAGAATATGCAGATGACATAGTTTTATTTGGTGAAGACGCTGACAAAATGCAGAGTCTTCTGACCACTCTGAGCAACAATGCAAGCATGTTCGGGATGCGATTCTCTCCCTCGAAATGCAAAATGTTGCTTCAGGATTGGGTTACATCGACACCCGAACTAGTGATAGGGAGTGAAGTAGTTGAGTGTGTCGACCGCTTCACTTATCTTGGAAGTCTCATCAGCCCTTGTGGTTTAGTGTGTGACGAAATCTCAGCACGGATACAGAAGGCTCGACTAGCTTTTACCAACTTGCGTCATTTATGGCGTAGGCGAGATATCCGTCTATCAACCAAAGGACGTGTTTACTGAGCAGCAGTTCGTTCCGTTCTACTTTATGGCAGTGAAACATGGCCGGTAAGAGTAGAGGATATCCATAGGCTACTAGTATTTGATCATAGGTGTCTTCGAAACATTGCTCGTATATCATGGGACCATCGAGTAAGTAACACAGTTGTTAGGAAACGGGTACTAGGTAAGGATGGCAAATCAATTGATGAAGTAGTGAAACTTCATCAGTTGAGATGGCTGGGACACGTGTTACGTATGCCCAACGACCGACTGCCTCGACGTGCTATGTTCAGTGGTATAGGAGTAGGTTGGAAGAAAGCTAGGGGCGGCCAAACCAAAACATGGCACAAGTCCATGAAGTCACTGACAAGTGGACTGAGTCGTGTTGGTAGGTGTAGACTACCTGGTTGGGGACCGCGAGATGATAGCAACCGATGGTTAGAGACCCTGAATGACATGGCTCAAAATCGTTTGCAATGGCGCAGGTGCATCCACTCTCTGTGTTCTCCCAAATTCTAATCTTCTGAATTCTTCATGTCCCTTTTTTCCTCTTTCAAAATTTATTTCACTGGATTATACTCTTTAAATAACATCTCCAAACCCTAATCTTCCCGATTACTGCTTATACTCTTATTACCTCTACCACTACGGGATTTGAATCGACCACTGTATCTCTGTGCTAATGTGGTGTGGCAACTCGAACTGATGTACGTACGTACGAAGTTCTACGTTGTTACTGACTGACTGACTGTGATTTGAGTGTTAGTCCTTAACAAACAGTAAGAAACACTTATATTTGCTGTTGAATTGTTATTTTTTTACAATGTTGGACATGTGTAAACGTCACGTTTTGTGGTTTTGTGGTAATATGATATAGTAATGTATCTTTGCGCCAGTCTCTACGTTTATAATGACTAACTGACTGACTTGTGAATTATTCACTTTTTTCCATTCTATACATATTCATACAATTGAAATATATTCAATAATATTAATGTTTATATTATTTTCTGGTGTCATAAAATAATTTTTTATTGCATTTTTTTTAAAACTCATAACATTAGTCGGTCACGCCAAATTCACTTGTCATTATTGATGAATTAGGACGTGGCACATCAACGTATGATGGGTTTGGACTAGCATGGGCAGTCGCTTCATTTTTAGCTAGTCCTGAAGTTGGTTGTTTCGGTTTATTTGCCACACATTTTCATGAATTAACCAGTTTAGCAAATTATATGCCCAAGCGTGTAGCTAATCTACGAGTTTTATGCAATGTATCAAACACTAAGGGAATCGTTGAAGATGAAGAGTCTGAGACAAAAGTTACCATGTTGTATAAAGTTGAGCCAGGTATGTAATCGTAAAATTGATTGAGTAATTGGATAATAATTTCAGATTAATAACTTAAAATGTTTTAGTGTATTTTCCTATCGTTTGGTTTGACTATAAAAAAATCTGTGAATGGTTAAAATAATTCCTTTCTAGATTATCTATTTCCATTGTCTTGTTTGTTCATCAGATTTTACCATCATGGAAACATGATCATATATTTGTGACATGTAAATGTCCATTTTTTTACATAAACCTTAAATGTCAATTGGTCAGTTTACGGTACATTTTGTTATGTCACTGTAAGTTCTTCGATAATGGTTGTTGTTAACTTACTCGATTTTCGATCATTCAATTACTTTAATTAGATTAGTGCTATGGTTTGAAAAATATTTGATTTTAACACCGACTTATACTTTTAACTGTTTCGTTTTCTAAATTTTTGAATTATGTTGTTTCGATAAAATTCATCTTTTTGCCTTATTACAAATATATATGATGGTTTGCTGATTTTCTGTGGATATTAATGTGCAAAATGTTATGCACCATAGCACAAACTTTTAGAGGGGAAAGTTTTCTCTCACTGCAAACATAGTAATGTGATGAGTGCTAAAAATTAAGAAACAGGATTGAATGACGACACCACACTATCCTTCATACTGAAGTAAAGTAAACTCACGATTAATATTCCTTCACCGTTGGTACTTGTCAGCAATGTCACTTGGGATTTACGTGAAGTCTTGGCCAACACGATGGAGAAACCCGAAGCTAATGGTTAAAGGATGGACTGACAGCAACTAGGGTACTAGAAAGAATTCCAATCATTTTAAATTGTCAATCTAGTAATTATCTGTCTCTCAAGCGTAGATTTTGTACTTACATTATCGCTAATCCACCATACTTCTTCGTGTTATTAATTTAGGTGTATGCAGTCGTAGTTATGGTCTAGACGTTGCTCGTCTTGCAGGCCTACCTATGGAAGTAATTAAACAAGCTGAACACCAAGCATCTAAAGATGAAGAGCTTGAATCAATTTGGTTGAAATTAGATAAAAAATGCTCTACCATATATGAAGATGAACTAGACTTTGTTCATGTAAGCAGTTGATTTTCTTTTTTCTTTCTAAAACGTTTTGTAAAATGTTAGTACTAAATGAAGATTTTAGTCTGTTCATTTCTTTTTCATACTTTAGAAAACTTTTTAAACAGCTACCATGAAAATTTTAAATGTGATGTGTCTATATTAACAAGTAGTTTCGTCCTTTCATTATCTCAGTTGTACTGATGAATAAAAACAATTATCACCTAGTAAACGTTTTTCAATACTTTCCATGCGATTCACTCGCTGAATTGAATATAGTCACCCTAAATATCGTTTTACTGTTTTTTTTATACTTTAAACCTAATCATCCAAGCACCTAGATCAGTTATATGCTTTGATCAACCGTGTTTTTTTTTAACCCAGCATACTGATATTGTGTTGTTATCTAGCTGTGTTTTAACATTCTTCAACTCTATTGTTCCAGATGATGCGGGATACCTGATCAGATTTAGTAATCCATCCATATTACATGCATGAATCTATGGTTTTTTATTTCACAATTAAAATTATGTTATTATGCAAATATTCAGTGTTCACCTGTATGTGACAAATCCTGTCAGAAAATATCGTCATTATTTCTCATGACTTTTCAGCTGCATAGTATATCAAAGCTTGCCAAGTGATTAGAGAGACGATTGGTGAGGACATCTAGACCTTGATTTTGTTCTTATTGATACTTGTCAAGAAATTATGCTTGCGATCTTAAGAGGATTGTTGCTGTATTTTGAGTTCAAACTTGTGCTACTCATTTGCATAGTCAACGTCTTATTTAGCACAAAACTTGGACTCAAGACTTCCTACTAATTGCTTCAAACTCCCTAGCGGCCAATAACACTACCTAGTTTACGTAATATTAACAACCTTAGGCTGGTGTCCACGTACTTTTGGAATGATTATTACTGTGTACTAGACGGGAGCGACATCAGTCAATACTTAGCGATCAACCAGCGTAAATTAAAGCTTATATGCTTATCCATTCAATAAAATGTTACGCATAGTTAACTCAATTAATGATAAAAAGTATTTTAGTTATGTAAACACAAAAATTCTGCAGTCAAATGTTTAAGCTGTAAAGAATTATTGTCTTTAAAACGATTTTTTCTAACGTATGTATCAAACGGAACTAAACATGTGTTTATCATTACGTCGTTTACATCATGAAATTACCTTGGTTAGATGATCATTGAAAATCAGGAAGCAGAATCGGACAGATGTTTCGTCTTACCATAGAAATTCTCATCAGTACTCATTCACAATGCCACTATGGATCGCAGGCATGACTTTTATATCTCGTGGCGAACGCTTAGCTTTTAGACTTAGAAGGTTACGGACGTACACCCATGAGGAATCTCAGACGATTGGAACATTTGTCCAATGCCGTCTGGTTTTCAATAGTTGTCTAGATGAAGTTAGTATGTGATGTGAACTACAAAATTTATCTGTCTCTTCACACTCCCTTACACAAATAATGTATCATTATCAAACGATTAAGATAAAACCATAAATTTATGTCAAATGTTTCTTTTATTTGCTTCGTCTTAATTGTCTTCTCTCATCATCTCTCATTTTTTCTACACGTTCATGCGTATGTGAATGTGTGTATACAGGACTCTCCAGCTGTATCAATCGCCAATGAATTATGTCCACGTCTTATCGCAATGCTGGATCACGTCATAAAAGAAGTTGAACTAAATAAGAATTTATCAATTAATATGATTAGTTCGACAGTTGCTCATTTGACGCGTGAACTTTTACTAGAGAAACCAAATAATTTACCAAGTGATTACTTATTAAATTTGGTCAAAAATAAACTAGAAAACAATAAGAAAATATAGATAGGTTTTTTACGATTGAACAATTATTTTATTGTTATAATCATGACTATAGTACTTTGTCAAAATTTTCCTTTAAAAAAATATCTCCACGTTTCTTTTTATATCAGTTTTAAATTAATAAGATCTGCTCACATATTCCTTTCAAAATTTTCTGTGTATCTTGAATATTGATACAGTAAATGTATATTAAGCCTTAAAATCAGAAATAATATAGTGAATCGAGTGGATTTAAAACCTAAACAAGTCGATACCAACTCAATAGTCTTAAGCTTCAGCTCTCCCTTTGACACTTGAAGTCCCTGGTTTCAATACCTGGCAAGGCTGTGAATCTACATGACTAAGTATTCCAGTACTTCGACGAAATAGTTGTCTAGATCTTCTTGGTTTATATAGGTTGTCTAGCTTCAACTAGTTCGCGATTCGGCAACAAAACTATCCTTAAAGTTTTGATAGGAAATCATGACTTGTTGTGTCGAATGAACAGTTGCGTGATGATTGCAGTGGTTACAAGAAAGTAGCATAAATGATAACAATCCGGACTCATGTAGTTAGTTATTTAGTCAGTCACTCAGTCAGCTACAACGTAGGACCAGGCACATATATGCATCGGTCCGAGTTGCCATACCCCATTAACACAACAAGATGGACACCGGATTCATAAAAGTAGTTAATTCAGAGGTGGTAATATATAAAAGAAAGATTGCAATAAGGATATAGTACAGGAAGAAAGAATTAGTTCGTAGAAAGAAAGATATGAAGCGATTTTAATCTCTTAGTTTAAGGGAAGACAGAGAGTGTATACACCGACGCCATTGTGATCGATTCTTAGCTATGTCACCAAGAGTCTCCAACCATTGGTTACGATAGTCACGCGGACCCCAACCAAGTAGTCTGCATCTACCAACATGGCTCAGACTAGAAGTTAGTGACTTCAAGCACTGATGCCACGTTTTGGTTTGGCCGCCCCTAACTTTCTTCCAACCATCTTCAATACCGGATAGCATTGCACGTCGTGGTAATCGGTGTTCGGGCATACGTAACACGTGGCCCAACCATCTCAGTCGATGAAGATTCACAACCTCATCAACTGATTTACCATCATTCCCTAATACCCTGCGTCTAACCTCACTATTACTTACCCGGTGATCCCAGCAGATGCCAGCAATATTTCTAAGGTATCTGTGGTCAAATACTAATAGCTTACGGGTGTCTTCTACTCTTAATGGCCATGTTTCGCTGCCGTAAATTAAAACAGAACTCACTGCCGTGCAGTATACTCGTCCTTTTATCGATAGACAGATATCTCGCCTTCGCCATAGGTGACGTAAGTTGGCAAAAGCCAAACGAGCTTTTCGAATCTGTGCTGAGATTTCGTCAGACACCAACCCATTGAGGCTGATGAGACGTCCAAGATAAGTGAAGTTGTCAACGCGTGCGACTACTTCATTCCCTATCCTTAGTTCAGATGTTGACGCAGACCAGTCCTGAAGCAACAACTCGCATTTAGAGGGAGAGAAGCGCATTCCAAACATTCTGGCATTGTTGCTTAGTGCTACCAGAAGACTCTGCATTTTATCAGCGTCTTCACCAAACAGGACTATATCATCTGAGTATTCCAAGTCGATAAGTGGACCTCCTGGTAGGAGATCAATACCCGAGAATTCAGTAGACGAGAATGTTATTTCCATCAATAGGTCTATGATGAAGTTAAACAAAAATGGAGAAAGTTGAGAGCCTTGACGGACACCACTTGAGGTTGCAAAAGCAGATGACAGTTCGCCATAAGCTCTCACTCGACTGGTAGCGTTCGAATAAAGAGCCTTCACAAGGTTTATGTACTTCTGAGGTACGCATTTCAATGACAGACACTGCCACAGAATCTCGCGGTCTACCGAGTCAAATGCTGCTTTTAAGTCAAGAAAGACCACCATTGTCGGCCGCTGATAAGTATGCCTATGTTCTAGAACCTGACGAATGGTGAATATGTGGTCGATGCAGCCACGACCAACCAGGTCTGAAGCCAGCTTGATTCTCTCGTGTTTGCAGTCCACGAGTCTTAGTTAGGCGTCTGATAATTATCGAGGCTAGTATTGTAGATACTATATTAGTTAAACCAATCCTTCTATGGTTGTCACAAGATGATTTTAACCCTCTCTTATATATTGGGACGATAAGTGATTGTGACCAGTCAGATGGAATAACGTCTAACTCCCAGATCTTAGCTAAAATATTAGTCAACCTAGTCGCTAAAATTGGACCACCATCCTTAAAGACCTCTGGAGCCAATCCATCTGGAGCAGCTGCCCTTTCTCGTTTCAGATTAAGTATAGCCTTCTGAACTTCTGCTAGAGTTGGGGGACCTACTTCAATGTTCCATTCACACTGTCTGGGAATGGAGGGTAGTTGTAGAGTAGCTGAAGGCCAGCTGAACTGTCCTCTGAAACGTTCTGCCTATCGTTCTAAACGTCTGGACTGGGAGCAGATGAGGGTGTCGTCTTTTTCCGAAATAGTCTGACTTACACTTGACTTAATAATTCCAGTTTCTTTTATTAGTCTGTAAAGCTGTCTTGTGTTCCCTATAGCCGCCGCCTTTTCCATCTCTTTTGCTTTCGTTGCCCACCACTGCTCACGATCGTTCCTTAGACTTTTGGTTAACCTAGATCTGATTTGTTGTCGCTCTTCATCGTGTTCAGAGCCTGATGGGATGAGTTTACGAGAATTCATCAGTGCAATAAACCTTGAAGAAATCCATTGGTTCTTTGTAACCCTGTGGTTTAAATCACTGATAGATGTCACTGCTGTTTCCACAGCGGAAGCGATTAATATACTGTCAGTCTTTGTGTACATTTGTTATTGTGTATAGAACAGAAAGGCTAAGTCATCTTCAAAGTTCAAATTATTCAGTTGTCTCCAAGGTTCTCACTGTATTCCGTGCTTTTCCTGAGGTGGTGGGGTCTTCATAATCCGATCAGCAACCAGAAGGAAGAGAGAGTGAATGTAAGGAACCCTGTATAACACCGATCCTCACTCAAGGTATCAGTGATCTGTCCTCCATCCATGACTCGTAAGATATTTGTATCATGGTGACGATCTTTTCAGGTACATCATAGTGTCGAAAGACATTCTATAAGGTTTTCCTATTCACTGTCAAATGCTATCTCATAATCAAGGGAGTTGATGTGCGGTTATGAGTTCTATTCGACTGGTTGTTTAACATTGATCTGCAGTGTCGCGATTGGGTCAGTATATGATTAGTCGTAATGGAATCCAGCTTGTTGATCTTAAAGCCGTACCCACTGAATCTTTTATTTGGTTCAGCAATAATGTTATGTCCCGATAAGCATAATGAATGGTAACTTTTGGGATCCATTTATGGACCAATACTATGCGTGTATTTTTGCCGTATAATAGTTAAATAACCAAACTATACATATGCGTGTTCCTCTTATTATGCGCTTTATTTTAAACTGTGAACTATTATTATCCGATTTACCATTCTTGAATTATGCCTTATCTATTAAATACTACCTCCCTCATTCACAGCAACATTTGGCTAATTCTTGTACAAATGTTGTTTCATATTTTATGGTACGTTGTGGTCTGTTTGATTGGTATATAAACCCAGTATGCTTGAAATAAATGATTCATATTGCAGAGGCTGGCGCTGGTGTTCTGGATTTAACTGGCTGGGCTAGGCAGAAAGTAGAACCAATAAGGACTAGACTGCTCGTACGGGTTTTATGTGTCATTGGTCCGATCGATAATTCACTGTTCTCTAATTGGCGGTATCATTACTTTATACCATTAGCAGGGCACACATGCCACAAGTCATAAATAATTTGTTCAGAATATTGCATGACACTGAATGGAGTGTGAACCCCTGTAGTTCCCACTCTTAGTAAGATCTTCGATACTTTAGTGTAGTATCACTCCTTACAGTGTGTTAGTGCTTTTTCTTCCTCTCAGATTACTTTGAAGAGAGCGTGGAATATCATTGCAGTTACCTCGATATCTTACTTCAAATCTTCAGCTGATATACTACCTGGTCTTGGTATTATGTTCCTGATTTGTCTGAGTCTAACAAATTACTTTCTTTGTCGATAGTGTATCATTTATAGGGAAGTCTATGTGTGCTGCTTTGATATTCATCAGCTTCAATGTATCTGATTTAGTAAAGAGCTCTCCCAACCGCTTATTAGCTTGATAGGTTGCATTACATATATGCCAATATTATTGTTTTCGTTGGATATTTTGAAAATAGCTTTGCTTTCTGATTGTATAATTTGTAACAATCAGTCAGTTGTTTGGCAGTTTTGTTTTTCATGTATAACGAAAGATTTAGAGTTTCACAATTCGTTGAGCAATTGATGAATTCGACCACTTCAATCGTATTAGTAACTTATCTAAGCATCATAATACCACTTTTGCATCAAATATCAAAATTTTTTTCATACTGAAATACTGTTAATGTTTAGTTTAGTTTAGTTTAGTTTGTAATACATATTCTTTACCCCAAATGAATCAATATCTAATGCATACGCAGCGCTATTACAAAATATCTCACTAAAATCGGAGAACCATAGGGTAAATGTGCAAAATATCAGTCAATTGTCTCAAACTTGACTGTTCCTTTTGCAAATATCAGCACATCGTTTCAGACTTAATTGTTCGTGCATTTTCATGCCAATTGCTTTCCGTTCCCGTTCTTTCCTTCTCGGTCGTCTACTGAAATGCATTCTATTTCTGACAATCGTTATATACTACTTATGTGGATATAAGTAGATCACTTCATATATATATATATATATATATATATATATATATATTCTATTTTAGTTTTAGTCTGTAGTATTTTAAATTATTTCCATACATTAAGTTATTGATTAATTAGGTAGGTGTGTAGTTTGTGGATGAAGTTGAACGATATCTATAAAGACCGCATGTTGTTGTTTACTTCTTTCTGTCAATGAACATAGAATCTGCCCAAATCAAAATTATTTCACAGCAGAAATAATAAATCTGGGTTAAAGTTTGTTAGACATTAACTTTTCAAACCTGATCATCAGTTTTTCATCCTCAATTTTGTAGGAAAATGTCTACATAACCTTATTTATCTGAGTGCAAGTATATTCATTCTGAGGGTTTCCTTCTAAATACTTCCCACAAATCTAAATGGTTATGAGACAACTGTGTGTAGACATTATTATTATTATTATCAACCAAAGCACCCCTACTTCACTTGTCCACTCATTTTTATCTGAACCGCTAGTAAAATGAGTTCTTCGGGAATTCTCTTTGAATTAAGCCAACTGAAATGAATTTCGAGGGATTTACGTGTTATGTAAAATCAGAACAACACATATAGGCGAACAATTGTTTTCAATTAGATCGTCATCAGGCCTTACTCTAATATACATGAATGTTTATACAGATGTACTGGTAGTAAGAATAATAAACTACGATCACAAAAGTCTTATCAATAGTTAAACGTTGGAAATAGAAGGTCAAACGTGGGTAAATATATTTGGAATAGTTAACACAAAATATTAAAATCATTACGTAATAAGAAGTGTGTAAATAATTAGATAGTGAAGAATACAAACGGCAAGAGGTGGAAAATTACAAACAGATACTAGATGTGAAAATAAGGCTAATAATAACAAAAATAGAATAAAATAAATATTACGTAATGATTTAAGTGTTTTGTGTTGACTATTCCAAATCTGTTTACCCACGTTTGACCTTCTATTTCCAACGTTTAACTATTGATAAGACTTTTGTGATCGTTTTTATTATTCTTACTACTATCAGTACACCTGTCTTCCTACTATCAACTTGTATTTTTACTTATTATGTATGGTGACCTATTCTATTTCATTGTGATTATTGACGCATATTGCCTTGATTGGTTTAACATTTTCGTATAAATATTCATGTATATTGGAGTAAAGCCTGATGACGATCTAATTGAAAACAATTGTTCGCTTATATGTGTTCTAATTTTCACAATGGGAATCTTATGTAAAATCGACATACACATAAGAATGTAAGGATGTGATACACCTAAAATTGTTCATTTTACTCTGACGACAAAAAAACGATTTCTCCTAATAATTGTAGACACTCACATCAATGACACAGGGGTTTCGATCGTAGACTTTGTGTAATAAAAGCTAAATTTCATTCAGTTTTTAAATTCTTACAAAAACTTCATGTGCTGGATTGTCTACAGAGTAGCGAATGTAAAATATAAAAGAACAACGAAAATTGTGAGCTAACGACTCAGTAAACGCATACGGTGTTTATATACAAGCAAAGCAGAACACATCATACAATAAAATAAGAAATAACAATTATATGAGATCAAGCCAAAAAGTGACTGTGATTGTGAGAGACAGTAACTAACATATTGGGAATAACTTAGGAATATTAAATCGTATAATAGTAGTTAATAGGTCACATAAAAGCTTATGATGAAAAAAATACAAACATAATCTGGTTATTTAACGGTTATACAGTAAGTATATATTAACAGTCTATAAATAGTTTCCAGGAGTTATCCACAATTTAATCTTTTCCGGTTTTACCAACTTTGTTATATCGATTCTCAGTGTCCAGCTAATGAGTTATAAATCTGACGAAACTCTTATCCTACAATAAGAACATACAAAAATAAGTAGTCCATAAATAGCTCTTAGCAATTACCATCCATTTATTCTTCGTTAGGATATAACAAGCTTAAAGCAGTCTGATAGTCGAAATTGAAAGTGTTATTACACATGTTTCACATGTGTATTTCATTAAACCGCGGGATAATGTAACGTATACATATGAAGTAGTTGACTATTACACAAAAATACACTTTGTGCATAGTTAACGTTCTTCAAACTGAACCACCAATACATTAAAGCTAATGGTTTTTATAATATACTAACTACCTTACGTCACTTATCAGCCAATCAAAAACATTGTCTAGTTGTAAAACACTTAACAACACAAATTAATGGAATGATAGTGTAATAACAGCTTAGATCTGAATAATTGACACTTATATCAAATTATTATTATTATTATATATTAAGAGGTAGGTTGATGTTGTGAGTTAGATTTATCACTCCATAATTTGCGTCACTAACTGATATCGGCTTCTGTTAAGTAATAACAGGTGGACTGGAGTTTTGAGTTAAGTTTACAAATTAGAGTCAGAGTTTTCTACATAAACCTCACATCAACTATAGTGCAATACCTTGCCATCTTGTTTAAGAGCTTGAGAAACGGAGTGGGAGAATATTATCTTAATTATGTTGTGAACGATATCATGTACTTTAACATATCTGCTTAAGGAGCTGGTATGTTACGTAATATAGCTGAAGTACCATCTAAAATTCATGTATTCGTTGTATGACGGTTGTTTCCACTGATTTCAAATATTATGAGAACCAAATATTGCAAATTTTCACTTGGTTAGAACATATACTTTATCTACCACTGCACTTTAAATTTCCCGTGAATTACATGAGACGCTATCCTAATCCTGATTGGTTAACTGTAGGTCATCAGTATATCATACTTTCTCCATAATTTTAACCTTTTACTTATCTTATCTGGTGATTACTGAAATAATTAAGGCTTTAATAATATGATGGTTCATACAGAGCATATCCTTAATTGTTAAATGTATAAAATTCTAGTATCCAGATCAACTGGAGAAGCTCATCTATGTTTTTTGTGAATTGTGGTTGCTGATTCTCTTTTTTCTTATCAAATAAACGACTAGTCAGAGTTGAAAATAAAAATCACAAACATGTGATACTTGATTTCATCTTGTTACAACTACTATTCATTGCATAGTTGACATAATGGGCTGACCTTACTTAGAACAACCAATGAAAACCAAAAAGCGTTGCATATCTGTTTTATTCAAGTACAGGACTCCTCGAGTGTGCTTCGGGGACCAAACTCAAGACCTCAAAGTATCAAAAGATTTCTGGACCCTTAAACCGCTGAGTTTACAACCAATCGTTTATGTTCCAATCTTCTGTCAGTTCGCAATATCGTTAGAGCATTTCATTTGAGAACAATGCAGCTATCCAGAGTTATCTGATTTTCAACGGTTATCTGAGTAAGTTCAGTATATGATGCAAACCATTATTTTCAACAATAACTACTGACAAACGATGTTGATCGGCATATGGGGGTAGGTTTCGAAATCACTTATTATATCATTTGACGAAGTCATTCATTGCTTAACTCAGTAGTACGGTTATTTGGTATAAGTGTTCAATTTTAATTTCCACAAGAGAACAAATATTGGATAGATGTCGATTAAATTTCAAGAATATTCATTTATAAACTTCTGTATTACTTGTGGATTAATGGTTTCTTTTTTTATTATTATTATAATTTATTAATTAGTCTTTGGTAAATTTGAACTTTACTTTTTTTAAAAATTTGTATTCTTCTCAATTAGTTTTATTAGTTTATATTCTTTGTAAATTAGCCAAATATCTAAAATAAGCTTAAACTGAATGATTGAAAACTTGTCTTTTTATTATCAGACTACTTGACTTGTATTGACAACACTTTCCCCTACAGAGTTTGATTAAAATCAGCTGTATGATTGGTTACCTGTAAGACAGATAAGATAGAATTAAAGT